ATTATCACAGCCAAAAAACTGGAGTCCAGTTTCAGTCCTTCTATCAAAGACACTGTTCCCACATCAAAATCTGCTGTTCTCCATTCACACCTCTAGTCTTTAGCTCAACGCAGGCATTACCTTCTTCATCAGAAGACAAGGTGGTGTCTCCACACTCCTCTTTCACTTCCCTCAGAATCTTCAGGTAGCGCCGATGTGTCCGTTTGTCCCGTTCTTCCGAGTCATAGGTGGGTGTGAAGTGCTTCCTCCTCATGGTCATCTCAGGGCCTCCTTTCCTGGCTAATTCCAGCAGGTACTGGAAGATGAAACACATGTCATGTTAGTTGTCTCAGCTATAGCATTGCAATCCACAACAGGTAAGCTCAACTCATGCTTTCAGCAAGTTTAACGTGGGGTAAATACCTCAGTTCTTTATGAAGTGGTAGCCCTCAAGCAGTATCAGTATCTGCCACACACTTGATTTTAAGACCAGCATTTTAGACCAATATTAAAAGGAGGAAAAAGGCAAGGTGAAATTCCCACACCTTCCTGTGCACACATGGCAGTAACTCCCTGTCATTGTACCTGGACTGTTGAGAAGAACCTAATCATAGCTCCGAGATCCACTTCCAAGCTTCCAAGTCAAACACATAACACAGACATGGAACACTGCCTCTTTTGAAGGAAACACTCTACACCCCTTATGGCTACAGAGGAAATAACTCTGCCCAGAGGAGCTGTGGCTGCCCCATCCCTGGCAGTGTTCAAAGCCAAAATGGACGGGGCTTGGAGCAACCTGCTCTAGTGGAAGGTGTCCCTGCCACAACTGGATGAGCTGTGAAGTCCCTTCCAACCCAAAGAACTCTGTGATTCTATAGACTTCCTACACACTTCCACATACTTTTTCCCACATCACTGCGGGGCGTTTTGGAAAGACAGACTTTCCTCTCCATCCATGCACCCTGTATGATTCAATGTCTAAGTGTAATAAAATTATGTGGGCAAGTATTTACAATGCAGAGACTATATTCAGCAGTTAGCAGAGAACAGTATTCACAAAGGAAGATTTGATCATGGATTTACAGGCATCATAATCAGGGGTTTGTATTTATTCCATACCAGTGGCCAATGAAGCTGGGAAATTCATATAAGTACATACTGGGCATCCTCACTTGTTTCAGAATGACAGAAACAGTAGAAAATGAAGGCAGAATAATTTGTTAATAGGACAACAAGGTGTAAAGGAGCAAATGCAGGAAACGGGACAAAGTGGGCATGGACAAAAGATGCTCTACACAAGCAAGAGCTATGGGAGTTTCAAAACATGAAAACTGCAAACAACAATTCTGATATTCTCATAAGAGCTACAAAAAAAAAGCAACCCACAGAAAGAAAAGACCTCTGAGAACTGTGAACGCACAAATACCAGGACACTTTGTTGTGAAGACAGCGTATCTGTTGCCAAACACAAGAAAGCACAGATTCTCAGCCTGGTTTTGGCTGGAAGGGACCTTAAAGCTCATCCAGCTCCAACCCCTGCCACAGGCAGGGACACCTTCCACTAGAGCAGCTTGCTCCAAGCCCCTGTGTCCAACCTGGCCTTGAACACTGCCACAGCTTCTCTGGGCACCCTGTGCCAGCACCTCAGCACCCTCACAGGGAAGAGCTTCTGCCTTAGAGCTCATCTCACCCTCATAGTAAAGAGCTTCCTAATGTCTAATCCCAATCTCCCCTCTTTCAGTTTAACCTTCCAGTTCAAGCAGCGATGACACTCACGTTGCGGGAAGCAAGGATCTGCTTGAGCAGCCGGTAGAAGTACTGCTGCTGAGCGCTCAGGTACCGCTTGTACTGTGACTTGAAACAGAGCTGCCGGTACTTCACCACCTCGGGATTGAAGTGTCCATCTGGAAGAGGTAAAAAGCACTGGAGTTCCTCATCGCCAGCTGAGGCATGAACCCCGACAGCACCCAGTGTTTGTTACACTCACTGACCACGGAAAAGCTTCTGGGCGATGTGGAGCGGGTTCCCGAAGCGGAAGTTTTCGCCGCTGAACAAGGTGGTGATGAGCTTGTTCTGGTGCTCCCGGTTGTTTTCAGGGAAGCGAGGCAGGAATTTCTTCAGGTGCTCTCGCTGGGCATCCGTCAGCACCTCCTGCCACGTAGACAAGCTGACAACGTCAAAGAAGATCTCGGGCTAAAGAAAGCCAAAAACAAGAGCGAAGGAAATGAGTGGATGTCCTGGACAATCCTCTAGCCCTTAAGGCTCTCTGGGGTGAAGTAACACAAGTCGTGGCAGCGTCTCACCAAATGCAGAATACAACAGGGCATGAAGAGGAAAGAGAAGGAATTTATGATACTAATAGCAACAAGACAGTCAACTCGAAACCAACAGTACTTTCTTCAAGGCAATTTTAAAGTAAAGGAAAAAGAATGTATCAGAATAGTATTAAAAGATGTTTTCATAGAATCAGAATCCCAGGCTGGTTTGGGCTGGAAAGGACCTTAAAGCTCATCCTGTTCCAACCCCTGCCACGGGCAGGGACACCTTTCACTAGAGCAGCTTGCTCCAAGCCCCTGTGTGCAACCTGGCCTTGAACACTGCCAGGGATGGAGCATTTACCACCTCTCTGTAGTAAAGAGGTGCCTCAGCACCCTCACAGGGAAGAACTTCTGCCTTGGATCTAACCTGAACTTCCCCTGTTTCAGTCTGAACCTGTCACCCCTTGTTCTATCGCTACAGGCCCTGATGCAGAGCCCCTCCCCAGCACCCTTGTATCCCCCTTCAGATACAGGAAGGCTGGAGTTCTTTCCCAGGCCAGTCAGAAACACTCTCTTCCTCCCAGTTTGCTCTAAGCCCCATAGGAGAGAGTTAAACACGTTCATGAAGGCTCTGTGAAGCGCTACTCACATCCTCCAGCAGGTCCTCAGGCAGGCTGACCCTGGTGGTGCCCAGCATGCAGTCCTCCATGATGCGGGTCCTGCCTCCATCCCCGCAGGGTCCCAGCTCCAGGGGGTCGGTCAGCATGTGATCCAGGGAGTCCATGCTTCACCCTGGCCTGCTCCTAAGCAAGGCAGCGAGGCCCTCAACAACCCGAAATGCCTACCCCAGGTGAGGAATGATGGAGAAGGAGCTTATTTAAAGTCAAGGGCGCTGAGATAACTAAGAGATCATAAAACGAATGCAACTGTTCCATCGCAACACCAGTTAGGCCAACAGAGCGCTTCACAGTGTGAGGCATGCCCTGGGACAGGCAGACCGGGAAGCAGAGGTGACCCCCTTCACTCTGCTTGCCACCTTCAAGCTGTTATCAATACAGAACAGGAAAATAACAGATGTAAAGCCTCAAAACTGTTGTCAATAGAGGTAAATAACAGGACAACAACATACCTAAAGCCTAAAAGCGATATTAATGCGCGAACCCGACTTCTCCAGCCTTCAACTTGCACCCATGAGCCCCGTCCCCCCTCACGCACCAGCTGACACCGCCTCACGAACCACCTTAAACCGACGCTGAGCACAGGGCCGGCAACCGGATAACCCCCCTCATTCCATACCCGCTACCCCGGCTCGGGGCGCGGCTCTCACAGCACCAGCACCGCGGTCACCCCCTCACCGGGCCCGGCGAGCAGCGGGAGGGGATGCGGGGATCCGGAGCTCCGCGGCCCAGGCCCGGCTCCCCTCAGCCCCGGCGCCGAGCGCTGCCCGCGGTGAGGGGGCACCCGTGAGGGGGCCGGCCCGCACCGGAAGGCGGAAGGCGGGCGGTCACAGCGCATGCGCGATGGTGTTCCCTCCCCCGCGCCTGCGCGGGGCTCACCCCGTCTTCCTCCGTGTCGCGACAAAGCGCGTCGCGATAGGGCAAAGTCCCCCCCCCCCATCGGCTTTGGTCCAAGTGAAGAGCCGTGATTGTGGTTTGTAGAAAAAAAAAAGGGGGGGTAAGGTTTATTAATGGGTTTTTTGTACAGCTGCGGGGTTGCACAAGACGATGAGCACGACAACGGTCACCACCGTACAGTAACAGACACAGTTAAATAGGAGGGGTGCGAAGTGGGGGGGGCTCGGCTACGAGTGGGCGTATTTGGACCCAAAAATGCCACGGTCCAGCAAGACGTTTGCTGGCACTCAACTGCGGGCCATCAGGGCGCGGGTTTGGGTTGCTCTGGTTTAAAGGTAATACTAAATCGTGTCCTTTCTGCACTGCAGAAATGGGGATAATCCATGCACTATTGTCTGCGTCCATGGTGGCGGTGTTTTTTAAGTCCATGGCGTTGCTTTCATGTCTTACTTTGGAAGGAAAATTCATCGTATTCCCAGATCCCGGGATGGTGCTGTGGCGACGAGGCACGTGTTTAACACGGGACACCATGACTTCCTTAATGGATTGCCTGGCCGATGGCATGAGCGTGCTGCTGTTGCGGTGGGACAGAGTAGAAACTTTGATAAGGAAGACTGGAGTGCAAAGAGGCTGGTTTAGGATTGGTTTTAGCCTTTGGGGATAGTTCACAGCTTTAAACAAGTCTCCTCCTGTGCTTCTTTCCAATAAATATAAATAGAGCAAAACAGGTTTTACACCCCTCATCTCCAGTACCATTAAGGCAAACTCATTTGATGTTACAGACTTTTACACCTTTAAGATACCTCTTGTAGTGCAGTATCCCATTTCCAAGTCTCCTACTTTCCTGCTATTCACACCATTTTTGACTTGGTACAAGAGCATATAGCAGCCTAAGGAAAGCCAACACAAATCTCCTTTCTATTCTCCTACACCAACATCATTGCAATGCCCAGCACTGGAATTCAACAGTCCTCAGGAACATGACTTCATTGGATCAGCAGGAACCACACTCAAGCTGATGGGCTCCCAGGTGTGCTGAATTTAAAGACACTGATCACTGCGTTTGACTAAATGGAAGCTCATGGACTTCACCAACCTCAGGAATGCCCCATACAGTGGTACCCAGGAACAAGTTAATCCATATTTTGGCAAGTCACCTCAAAGCTCCCTCAAAACACCTCTGCCTGGCCAGTGTTCTCCATGGGATTTATCTCCTCACGCACAGTCACTCCTTCCACACCATATTAACAGATGTGTTAAGTACCAAAAGCAATACCTGCTACAAGGCTTCGCCCAGAAGAAACCAGACTTCCTCTTGTCCAGTCCAAGTGTGAAGCTCCCAAAGAGCTTTAACTCCATCAGGGCTGATCCCACAACATCTGTGGAGCTTGCCCACCTGTGTAATCCTCATCTAGATCTGGAGTACTTAGGTCAAGGAGTTGCACATTCACACGCTGTGGCACAGAGAAAACTAACCCAGAAAACCTCTCTCATTTCTTCAGTCTCACAGGCCATAAAGACAAAAGATCCTTCTTTGCTTGTGTTTTATAAATACACGTATGCTGTTGTGCACAGACAATCTGGGGTGAGTTTTCAGGCAGTGATTGGAAGTTTAGACAGACACAGTACATCCCATCAGGAGTCAATGGAGTTGTAGTTCTATTTTTGCACATACCAGAATGCATTAAATAACCAACAAATAAAAGGATTATGCAAGAAAAAAATGATAATTACACTGCCTTAAAAAGATAAACCTGCTCTTTCCCTTTCTCCTGGTCAAGCATGGCATGAATTCTGGACATAGACCAGGCCTACCAAAGCAGGAAACCCTCAGAGATGGCTTTGTGTCCCATAAACAGTGGTCCACTAGCGTGTTTCTTGTATGCTTCCCGAGTCCAGGGCTGGTCATCTTACGGAAATGTCCAAAGAAATTAACTGCATTGTTAACAAGGCTTTTGGGGGAAGAAAATAGAGTAACCAACTCTCCATCCAGTCTTCAAGGGGAAAAATGGTGACAACAGAGATAACTACCCTGCCTCTTCAGAGGTGTGCTCCTGCACCCTCATGTTCTCCTGGCACAGCTACCTTTAGGTTACAGCAGAAGCTGCTACATAGGCTAAGGTGAACCCTTTTTGTCTGTTTTACTGGGCAAAAAGGTGATTTTCCCTGCAAATACTGGAAGGGAAAAAGAGATAACAGTGGCTCTGTAATACCCTTACGTGCTGCTACAACCTCCATCAGTTTGCTCCAAACAACACGGGTTTAAGACTGCACTTTTCCTTCTTTTGGAAGGTGGTAAACTAGGGCAGGGCAGGCAGCATGTAAACAGTTCTTGAGGGCTGGAAAAATGAGAATAATAATTTAATGGACTGCTTGGGCACATCTTCACAGCTTCATAGTTACATCCATCCCCTCACATGGACACTTGGCTGCTGCTGCTCTTTCTCTCCAGGCAGTCTGCTCGCAGCGAGCAGATGATGTTCCCTTTCACCTTGGCTGCTGAAACGAGGACATTGGAAGCGGTTCTGCCCTATTCTGGCTATTTACACAATGGCCTCCTCTTTAACAGCTCCTAGTAAAAACATACATACATCATCAGCCAGTTAGCCTTCCATTAGGGAAGCTTTTTCCCCATAAAATTGAAGTAACAAGTTGTTTACTGGAGACACTTCCAAAAAGGAAAAGTAAGGGTCAGCAGACATGCCCAAAATCAAGTCCAGAGCAAGCAGAAGTTTTACTTCTCCTCTTGTCCTTTTTGTTAAAAGCTGCATAAAGTAACAACCCAGAAGGATTTTGAGGGTACTTCTTCATGGTCACCAGGGACTTGAACCCTCTTAAAGCGTTAACAAGAGCTCCAAGATTTTAGCTGAAGTGAGCATATACTTTAAACCATATTTAACCCCAGCATACCCATAGATCTGGGCTCGGGGGGGAGGTGACAAGTACGAGCAAGAGACACCACAAGGCTTCTTCATTCATGTTCTGCTGAGAAAGTTCTGGGTTTAGAGATGTGCACCTCGCTGCTGCCGCTCCCATTGGTGGTTGTAGTGATGATGTACTGGGTGGTGGGCTGCTGAGTGCCTGTTTGGGATTCCAAGGTATCCGTGGGGACTGGGGGCTGGGGAACGCCGACCTGGACCTCACTGGGGAGCGAAGAGTTTTGTTTGGCTTCCAGATCAGGCTGACCTTCAGATATCACATAGTGAGTCTGCATGGGGAATATGGAAAATCATCATCATTGCACCTTGTCTAAGTTCCCTGTTCTAATTGTCTGTAGCTTTCCTGTTGCTGTGCTGGAGACATTTTGGTATGAACTTGGAAATTAAGTTTTATTTCATTTAAATGTACCCAAGAACAACCTAATGCTTGCCCTTTGTTTTCAAGTACATTGGGCTACTTTCTATTTGGTTAAGCTAATGATGCAATCAACCCATCACTACAAGTTATAACAGCCATTCTTAATACTGCTCTCAAAGTTCTTTGTTCTCCACATGCTATACAACTTGCATTTCCAATATCACGCAGAACAACCACCTGCCTCCTCATGCTAGATTGCTTACAAGGTAAGACAGCAGTGACTCTTAGTCTGTAATCCTACAGGTAACAGAAAGCTGGCAAAATTATTCTCTATTCTGTGTGGCCCAGTATTCACTTTGGCATCTTTTTACCCTTCAAACTGTATGCTTAAAGCCTGATACATGACTCTGGATTAAGAAAACCCAAAAAGGCCATGATGGTTCTTCTTACCTGAGTAACTGCTTTCACTTGCCCCGTGTTGACAGTGGTGACTGGTGTACCTACAGCAGTCTCTGTGATCACGTACTGGCCTTGGGGAATGGTCATCATCTGGATCTCAGATGCTGAAAATGGAAATTGGAGAATCAAGACCTTCAGTCAAACTCAAAGACCATCTTGAAGGATTATATCTTATGTCAGTAGCATATCAATCCTGAAACAGTGGCTGCTAAACAGCAGTTCAGGTACTGTAAAGCCTTGTAGAACTCTACAGACCTCAAGAGATTTAGTGCCAGCTAACATGAGCTGCAGATTTGGCAATTCATTCATAGACAACACATCCTGTTCTCACCTACATCACTGAATTACCACCCAGAGCTGCACGGACAAGAGGAATAGTTTCACCATACCCTCAATTTCATCCAAATTTGAGCTAGTCCCTACCCAACGCACGCAGTCTTGCTGAATACAACATCCTTGGAATAAAGGAGCCCAGTCTGCCTGCTCAAATCACATACCAGGTCATTGTGGACCTACAGTACAAACTGCTACTACAACCATTTTCATTTGTCTGAAACTATTTCTCTCCTTAGATGTGTATAAATATTAATCACAGATCTTAATGAGCTCTGAAAATACTATCCCATTTGGTAGCTGGAGGAATGGAGCACATCTTAGTCCCATATGTTAGTCAGATTCCTAGGGAGAGCTGCTGCTGCCACTTACAATAGCTCCGAAACGAGTTCCACGTGCTGGGAAGATACGTGTGCTGGACTGAAGATCCCTGCTGCTGCTGGAGGGCTTGGGTTGGTGTCGATGTAGCTGTCTGCATCTGTGAGGGGCTGAGCTCCTGCTGAGATTGTTGTGAGGAGGGACTCAAAGGCTGAGCCCCAACCTAGGAAAGGTAAAAGCATTCTCAGTGTAGTAAGTTACAAACATATCTTGTTTTAGTAAGGGATAACATGGGGGCAGGTTCTATAGCATATCCTGTGTGACTCCTTGTAAGAAGGGAGTCTCATCTCCTTTCTAGCCACCCTTTAAATACTACAACATGGTGATAAGGTCTCCCTGCAGCCTTCTTTCTCCAGGCTGAACAAGCCCAGTTCCCTCAGCCTTTCCTCACACAGCTTCCCAGTCCTTGGATCATCTTTGTGGCCCTCCTCTGGACCCTCTCCAGCCTGTATAGTCAGGACAAAAACTGAACCACCCCCCAACAGCATGGAGAGCTTCAAGTATTTGAGGAATGCCAGTTTCCATTTACATCTTTCAATTGGCTACGTTTAAGTTGCACTACCTGTGCTGACGACTGAGGTGCTGCCGAAGGCTCTGTGACCTGGATGTGCTGCACCTGGATAGCATGCTGGGTGTAGGTCTGGGGGTCGTGAAGCTGCCCAACGTCCACTGTGGAGTGCTGGGACTGGTGAGGTGAGGTAGCCTGGGAGGAAAATGGAGAAAACAAACATAAGAATACCAAAGCAGCAGTCCTGTAAACCCCTTCTGTGACACAAGCTCTGCAACAGTGAGCTGTGAACCTTAATGAGACCATGGAGCACTCCTGTTCAAGCCAGTGTTTAACCTCTCTTTGCTCCTGGGAGATCAAGAAATACATTTAACAGCTGTAATAGCACTGAGATGGTTACATCTTAAGTCACCCCACTGAAAAGGCCGTGCTAAGGGCATACAAGCTGTCAACCAAAGGGTCTGAAAACCAGGACCATCATTCTTTGTAAGCTTCTTTCTATAAAATAGATACATCCTCGAGATCTGCATACCCAGAACTGGTTTTTGATACCACTCTGTATCAAGACAAGTGCTCAGACTCTTACTGATTAAAAGCTTTTTGGAGCAACACTTGCTAATGATACCAATTGGTGTAATTTAAGTACAGGTCTAAGATCTTGATAAAATTAATACTAGCAATCAGTATTCATGCTCTCATATCATTACAACAGCCACTGTCAATATTAACTGGGGCCAGGCCATTATTTAGTCTTTATTAACCAAATTCATAACTTCATTTGTAATGAGGAGCCAGAGAGAACAGGGAACTGCAGACTGAAATACAAGCACGTGGTACTTTCAGCTTCACCCAGTGGATACCAGACTTGAAGGCTATGCCCATTCATTCCAGCTCCCCAAGTTATGCTCCTCAGCTCGGTTGCTCCAGTTACACTTTGGTTTTATTTGCAGGAGGCACAGAAAATTGATATTCTAATAGGTGACACAAAGGGGAAAAGCAAGCAGCTCTCTGTACTTCCACACTTTGGCTCTGGCTCACTGAGAACAAGGAAGGACAAATTAGTCTTCAACTGCAAAAACGGGTCACCCACTGACCCACTTTCCCAGGTGCTGGAAAACCTTCCTAGAGCAGACTTGAGCAAAGCTGCCCAGATAGGCAGAACTAAACTGAAGTAGCACTTCAGTGTCCAGCAAGCAGACCAAGACCAGCAGGATTTATGCACAGTACACAATGCCTACAGAGGGAACCCTACAATCAACCAGTTTATCTATGAAGAAGTGTGCACCATTCTTTGTAACTACTCCTTAACAAACTTCCGAGTGCTACAGCCCCAAGAAAGCAACGGGCTTGATATGGAGGGACTCAAAAGCACATCAAGTCCCCCACCGGGCTACTCACCTGGGCCACTTGCACAACCTGCAGCTGTATGTGCTGAGGCTGCTGCAAGCCAGTTGTGGGTTGCGACACTGGGATGTACTGGATCCGCTGGTAATCTCCCTGGGGAGTCCGGTAGTCCGTGGTGAGGGTCTGGGATATCTCTGTCATTGCCTGGGTCAGTAAATCTGTTGTCTGAGCAGGTAGAGAACGATACAGACCATCATCAGTTGACATCATATTGTCAAGTGGATTGAGTACTTCCACAGGGCTGTAGTTATTTTCGTCACACCATGGGGCCTAGACATTGAGTCACAAGAGCTTAATGTGTCCAGAGGATGGGGTCATAAGCAGTCACCAGCGATTATCCACTAGAATTGGTCTCTTCTGTCTAAATGTGATGGTCAGGACCTTTGAGGACTGATTTATGCAATAATAATTAAAGAATTAATCTTCTGACTTAATACTATGCTATTAGACAACAAAAATCCTGCATCTGCCAAGAGCTGACTTAGTTTTCAAGTCAAAAAGTGCTTCTTGGATATACTCCACCTTCCCTCCTCACCTACCAGAGTGAGACTTTTCTTAGCTGTATTGCCTAAGTGTGTAAAGACATTTGGCACCCTCAGGTTTATGAAGCCACCAGCATCCTGGTTGAATCTACACATTTGAAAGCAGAACAGTCTTTTAGCCACTTAGAGTCTTCAAACAGGAAGTTTTAAGTTGTGATCAATAGGATTTTTAAAGCTATGCAGCATCCCAGCACTGCTAATGAACACAAAGCTGATTTTTCTAGCCTCAGCTTTCACCTCCTGATGTATTAACTGATGTATTAACAGTGAACAGATCAGCTACTGGAGGTATGCATCAACCAGTACTGCACTGTCCAAAAGTGTCGCTGCCCGTGGCATGGGCATGAACTGGATGATTTTTAATGTCCCTTCCAACCCAAACCAGTCTGGGATTCTGTGACTACAGAGATCTTGTCTCCTCTGCACAGATTGATCCAGTCATTACTAAACAGAAGCCACTCTTTCAAGTGGTGTGTGCCAAATAAACACTTAAGACCAGAGGCCATTGGGCTGTTTGTTTCCCTCTGTTGGCCTCATTTAATGTGTTCCACGTGCTTACCACAACCGTCTCTCCAGTAGTGCTGTCGGTGGATAGAACAGCAGGAGTGGAGCTGATGACAGCCGTTGCCAGCGGCGCGTGGATCGTGTTCGGGAGCTGAGCAAACTCTGGGTGCTTCTTGCGGATGTGCTGGACCATCTTGGTCTGCAGAGAGATGTAAGAGAGCATGAGGAAAACGGTCAGTAAGTCTGCTTCAGGTCAACTGACATCAAAAACCATCACAAAGTTCATACAATCATGGAATGGTTTGGGTTGGAAAGGATCTTAAAACTCATCCAGTTCCAATGTCCCTTGGACACCTTCCACTAGAGCAGCTTGCTCCAAGCCCCTGCATCCGACCTGGCCTTGAGCACTGCCAGGGATGGGGCAGCCACAGCTTCTCTGCGCACCCTGTGCCAGCACCTCAGCACCCTCACAGGGAAGAGCTTCTGCCTAAAAGCTCATCTCAGTCTCCCCTCTGGCAGGTTAAAGCCATTCCCCTTGGCCTGTCCCTACAGGCCCTTGTCCAAAGCCCCTCTCCAGGTTTCCTTTAAGCTCTGGAGCTGCTCTAAGGTCTCCCCTTCAGGAGCCTTCTCTTCTCCAGGCTGACCCAGCCCAGCTCTCTCAGCCTGGCTCCAGAGCAGAGCTGCTCCAGCCCTCACAGCATCTCCATGGCCTCCTTTGGACTCGCTCCAACAGCTCCACGTTCCTCTTGTGCTGCTGCCCCAGAGCTGAAAGCAATACTCCACGTATGGTCTCACAAGAGTTGCTGGTCATTAGAGCTATCTGATGCTGAAATGTTGCCTCAAATACCACAGCCTATAAGCTTTATACAGCCAGATCTTTTGGGGACCTTGTCCAGAGGTCACCTTTTCTGCATTTTGTTCCCCTACTCCTCTCCCTTGTAACTGGCAGTGAGGAATTTCCAAGCCTTTCCATTTGTAACTGCACCCTGATAACACTACCATGTGTTCTTTCCAGTTCATTCCCTCTCTTTAGGGAATTATTTTGCCATAAAACAATCAGGCTGTGCCTGCATTGTCAGCAGGCAGCATGAAACCAGCACTCTGACTCGGAATGAGAGAGCTTTGCTTGTGGGCTGACAGATACCACAGGGAAAGAGCTGGTTTTTACCCTCAGCTATATAACAGCCCTCATACCTTGCTGCTGTACTGCTTGGAACAGTGAGGACAGCAGACTGGAGGGGTGGCAATGGTGCCTGTGAGCTGGGTGTGGGTGCTCAGCATGGGATCCGGCTCTCCTGGGCCTGCAGGACGCAGCTTCCGGATGCTTGGAGGTAGCTCAGCACCAGGGTGGTTCTTCAGGATGTGTGCTTTGCGCTTACTGGCACTCTTGTACACCTGCAGGGTAAAGATCTGGGGTGAAAATGGTGCAGCCCTGATGTCTGTAGAGAAAACAGCTACCAGTTATCTTTATCTGGAAGGTCTGCATGTCACTTTAGATACTACATTTAGTTCAAGCCCCAAACAATTACAACATAATGCAGGAATATACGTTCACCTTCCAGTGTTTACTCAACCTGTAGAAGCAACTCTTTCTTGTGTAGCATGCAGAAGCCATTGGAGACTTTGTCATATGCCTCACCAAAACATCAAAGCAGGACATCAAAGAGGAAAACCCTTTCTGCCCCATACCTGAAGGTCAAATGTCAGAGAAGCCACTGATCACCAAAGCTGTAATTTGTCCAGTGTTAGTTTGTCATGGAGGGTTGATGCCTCCATTCTCACACCAAGCATCACACTGTTTGAACAGCCTTTACTGATCAACATACTCTTTTTAGGCACATTGAGAAATGAATATTCTATAGTATTACTTAAACCTATCTGGGTTTCATTTCCCTTGAAACAAAAGGAAGGAGGCATCATGAAAGAATGATGACAGTCAAAATACGCTCCCTGGCAAATAAAGGCCCACAAGCATAAAAAGCAAAGGCCAGGGAATAAGAACAGAAACCCAAAAGCAGTGCAGGAGCAGCTTCAGGCTTCACTGAACACTGGGAATGACTGGCATGTGACTAAGCAGCTTAAAATAAAAAGGGGTTAGAGGCTCACTTTTAGAACTGATGCAGAAACCAAAAGGAGTGAGTGTGCAGTAATTAACAGACAGATTTACTACTTAGTCCCGGGCAGCAAAAAGTTATGCAGGTCTAAGGGTGAGTGACTGCTGGCTGGCTCATGGTATTAAGTGTTCCAACTCCAAAGACAGGGGAAAGAACTGCAGTATTCAATGAGCATTCAGCTGCCTTGGCCTGAGTGCATTTCATCTTAATTCATTTGTCTGGACAGTACTGCAGGGATGTTGCTGGCAAGCACCCCAAAAGCAAGCTCCAAACCCTGCCAGATGTTTCTATGCAGAGATAAACTGGTTGCATACAGGTCTAGGACTGAGTTATACTCCTACGGGTGTCTTCCTTACATACCTTATCACAGTACTGACAGAAGTAATCTCTGTTGGGTTTGATAATGGGCAACGTGAGCTCTGGCACCTCTTCTATTTTCATGTCTGGATGTCTCTTTGATAAATGATTCACCTTAAGAGGAAAAGGCACAGAGAAAAAAGAGAGTATTAGAGCTGGAAGCTGAGGAATTGCTGCTTCTCCTCAACATGGATAACAGCCAGGCCGAAACTGTAGTGATGGCAGCCAGCAGGACAGAAGCATTTGCTGCTGCAAAGGCTCTTGTGCATTCAGTCAGCTGCTGAAGGTCTTGCTAGATCTCATTCACAGTTTCTCTGATCAAATTAAGATGGGAAGGGGTAGACCAGCTTGCCAGAACTCTTGCAGCAGAGGTAATGTAAAAGGTCTCTACGCAGGGAGGCCTTTGCTAGCCGAAATCACAACCCTCATGAAATACTTGCAAATAAGCTCTCCTGCTGCATAACACCCTTTACACAGTGGCAGGTAGAGGGCATGGCCAGGAGAGGCTCCTCAAGAAGGGGAAGAAGCAAAAAACAGCAAGACAGTCAGGAAAACCGAGGCAGTACAGCTGAATCAGGTGATATATTCATCTCATGTTCTATTAAATACACATCAGCCAGCATTACTTAGTGTTGAAATGGCATAGTGACAACCAAGCATACAGCAAAGGCATTAAGACACAGCTTTAAAACAAGATGTATCATCTTAGCTATGAAGTTCACCCAGTTTCACAGCATCCTTACGTTCCAACCTTTGAAATTCCATCTTCATTCCTTAACAATGCATCAAAATGGAGAAGCGGGAAGGGGAACTGGAGCGCTCACCAACATGCCCCTGCGGCGGAAGCCCATCATGCAGAGCCTGCACTTGAACATGAAGCTCTCGTAGTCAGTGGACGCGATCCGAGGCTTGAAGGTCTTGGAGCGGCTGATCCGATCCGCTTTCTTGGCCTCCCTCTCCGGGTTGTGCATCCTCTGCATGTGCTCTCGCAGTTTGTCCTTCCTCTGGGAAAGGGCAATCGGGGAGGAAAGCATCAGCACTGCTACTGCCTTTCCTACCTGTTACAAGAGCCACAAGGCGAGTTGCTGAGATGTATCTGTTGGGCTCTCTCTGGTGCCATGAATTGGTTGCATTCCCAGTGTTGTCCCAGCAGGAACCCATCTGGGTCTAGGTTTAGCCTTCAAGCCAAGCTGAGGTTGCTCAGCCACAAAAAAAGGAGCCAAACTAATGATAATTTAGTAGGCTCCACTCTGGCTTTTCTTTGAATTTATCTAATATATTAGTGCTTAACTGAGTATGGCTGGAAACTTGCATCTAATAATGCTCTTGCCTGAGAACCTCACATCCTACCACAGTACTGAACCTACTGCCTGGATGCAGTCCAGCCTTTCTGGTGACACACACACTGTCTAGAAAGTGCTTCTTCACCCCAAAGCATCCAGTCCCTCAGTATCCCATAAGAAACCAAGCGACGAGGAGCAGGCTGCTGCCACCACAGTCTTCCTAGCTCACAGTCTGCTCTATGTGTTCTGGTGGGATCTGGAAGGGCATCTGGATGTCCTGTGCTGACAAGATGGATGGCACAGACGCAGGCATCTTGGCCAGGAATATTATTCCTGGTTTCAGCAAGAGGTTTCCTAATATCAGCAAGAGCTTTTCTAAACTAAACTAAGCAATACAACCCAAGCACCTGCAATTGAGCTGCATAATGACCCAGCTCTTCATGAGCAGATGGAATATTATTAGAAGTCAGATTTGATAGGCAAGATGCTTATGCTAGGGTGAATCCTGCCCCTTGCCCATCAGAAATCGGTGTTGTCACTCCCATATGACACAAAGCAGCACACGCAGCTTCCACATGTTCATTTCATCCACCTTGGAGAACATGAACTCATCTGCTTGGAGCAGGGTAAAGAATGGTGCTCCTTCTCCACCCGCCATCAGTGAGGACTCCCTTTACCTTGAACTGCTTGCCACAGGTGGAGCACAGGAAGTCTTTGCGGTCCGAGTGGCGCAGCATGTGGAGGCGCAGCTTGTCAGGGCGGCAGAAGGCTTTGTCACACTCCGTACACTGGTAGATCTTCTCCGAGTGGAAGCTGCGGACGTGCTTCTTCACCTGCAGAGGCAGAGAGTAAACAGAATTCATTCAGAAGAGAGGAGTATGTGGTAAAACAGTGCAGGGAACTCTTAGCACGAAGGAAGAAGGCTGTAACAGTTCTCCGCTCTGCTTTGGTTTATAAAGTGCTTTATTGGAACAGTTGATCCCTTGGCAATTGCCTCCATAAAGCCAAAACATTTGTATTATGCATCTGGATGGACAAGTTGATTTCCTCAAGACTGATGATTCCTGAAGCTATTGTATAAGCTGGGCACTTCATAGGTGGCCAAAGACCACCATGTACCAGTTTTACTGCATCATCCTCGAGTTACAGCATTTATCTGAGGTTCCTTATCTTCATTTATAAGGAATCTAAACACAAGGACCAATTCCTTTCCACCAGAATGGCAATTCCTTTGGCGTACTGCCCCTGACCCATCCAGTGTTTTGGGGTTTTCCCCACCTCCAATAAAGTAACTAATGAGGTTTGACATTTCAAATCCAAGCACTATTCAATATATGGATCCCTAATTAAATCCTTGCTGTCTCCTAGTACTTATCTGAAGTGGAACAACTTGGTATCTGTTCCACATCAAAGTATTTAAGTAGGCAGCAGTCTGTGGTGACTAGACTTTATGATTCACATAGCACCAGCTGATAAAATAAGGTTTAATCTCCAAAATAGACCTGAATTGCTGGGAAAAAAAAGCCATGGGATGTCCTTCTGGCTTGATCAGTTCCACAGGAAGGTTCATGGGGCATTAGGCTGCAGTACAGCAGTTCTGAATCATCCCTGTTCCTTGTTCAACCATTACAGAAAAGAAAGGGGTTTTGCCAGGATGGAGTTAGCTTAGTAAATGACTTTTCTGCATCCTTTCCTCTCTAACCTATTGGATAGTCTATCAGCTTCTATTGATTTAAATTGGATTTCTATTTAAATCAGGCAGCTCAGCAAAATTTCTCAACCTCTACATCCCTAGGAAGGGTAATGAATGTGTGCGTGGTACCACTCGGTTCTTCCTTCCTGAACATCAAAATAGCACCCTGGAATTCTATTAACCATCTTCTGCAGTGGCTCTGCACACTGCACGAAGTCGTCCCGTTACTCACTACTGCAGTGTAACCTCTTTCCTAAGCAGAGTGCAGGGAAGAAGAATAAGCTCCCCACCTGAAGCCAACGGAGAAGTCAGGAAGCAGAATATCCTGATCTGTTCTGGTGTTTCTGCAAGGATTCAAGTGAATTATCCTGACAGAAACAGGCAAGGGATTAAAGACTCAATACCACCATTTGTTTTGCTTCAGAGTCTGAATGACAAAGGACAAGGGATATTGAAGCACATGCAGAAAGACAATTCCTTTTTGTGCCAAGGATCTGCACTGATCGAAAGGAGTCAGAACCTCTGGTTTAGGAATCTTTGGAGAATAAGGAACCACTCTTACTGCAGTGCAGTGCCAGACTGAGGTACTACAGCTGATCATGTAGCAGAAAGAGCACTGCAGGGGCGTAAGACAGCAGCTAGCAATGCTTGGTCACTCTTCCTTTTTCATTTCCAACTGAGGTGGACCCCTTTATCTTGTGAGAATGAACCGACATGCAGCAGGACCCAAGAACAGCACTGCAAAGCTCACAAACAGAGTGCTTACACAAGACCTGGAAGGCATCTCACCTGGATAAAGTCTGGAAAGCGTTTCTTGCAGGTAGGGCAGGTGAAATAGCCATCGTTGACATGGATGGCCACGTGGTCTTTGAGCAGATCCAGGCGGTCAAAGGACTCGGGACAGAAGATGCAGGAGTATGTTTTCTGGTCCATGTGGAACTTCATGTGGCTCTCGAGAGCCCCACTGTTGATGAAACCCTTGTTGCAGATGTCACAAGTCAAAGGGCAGTTCCCTTCCCGCCCGTGGAAGCGGAGGTGCTGATCCAGTTTGTCCTTTTCCCTGAAGGCCTTCCCACACTGGAGGCATTTGAAGGGGCGAAAGGATTTCCGGATGAAGAGGTGCTGGAGAGCTGCATTCTGCAGGAAACAGAGCCTGTTATTGTTATCTATAGATTCCACATCTATTTTCAAGGTTAAATATACTTCAAAACCAAAATGCTTTCATGTTATACTATCCCCATTTCACGTAAGCAGAGGCTGTGACAGGCAGAACTTAAGGGATAAACCTGCAGTTCCACACCATTAGGAGCACACAAAGCAGGAGTTTCCTCTCCAGTCCCTGTTTCTTGGCCATTTTTGTCTTTAGCATGGCATTTTCCTGTAAAATAAAACTAAGTCCCCTCTGAAGTACACACCTGGTCCCTAAAAAACAGCATCTGCACCCACAAGGATGTGCAGCAGTGGTTTAGCATTGCCTGGAAAGCTTCTGGTGGAACATACATTCAGGAGATGCTAGCCTAAAGCTTTCTGTTACCATCAGAAAGAACAGACTCTGAAAACATTCCAGCAAGGGCAGAATGGCAGGTTTCCCAGCAATGGCTAAGAACTTGTGAGCAATTTGCCTGTCTTTGCCGTTGAGCATCCATCATGTGCTAGAGCTTGAAAATGAAGAAGAGAGATGAAAGACAAACAGAAGTGCTAAATTGAGAGGAGCTCTGATAGATTCTGTTGTCTGCTCAAAGGACAGTTGATTATACACAGCCCAACTTGAAATTGCTTTTCTTGGTACTGCAAGAAAAAACAAGAATATGGTGAATGGAGCATGATGGGCTTTATGTGAATATTCATCCTCAAGTTCTGGGCTGCTCTTCTCTGGTTTTTTCCACTCCTACTGCACACAATTGCTCTTTTTAGCCCCTGCTTTGCTTTGGTGTGTGCTTTCCTTAGGTCTACTTTTCCTGTATCATTCCACGGTTGTTATCTCTTCCTTTTCTCCCCTTCAGATGAATAGTATAGAGTCCCAACACTAGCACTGTCTGCTGGAGGAACAGATGCTGCTGGACACGCTGTCTGTAGAAACAACCAAGTGTGGCCTGCACCTGCATTTCAGTATTGGATGAGGATTTGTGTGTGGCAAAGTTGGAAGTCCATCCTACCTCTGCGTGCACGAAACCCCACAGCACACTATCACCAATCGTGTACTGAAAGCACACTGCAAGAAGCCTAAGGAATATCTGCTCTTCTCCAAACTAAGATCTATACCTCATCTTTTACTGCGGTCTTCCCTTTTCAGATGTCACACACAGAGCCTACATGATGATAGTTCAGAGAAATAGCACCAGACATCCCTGGCACCTGTGCTTGAACACATGCAACGTTACACACTTCAAGAGATACGTGCCAGATATCTGCAAACAGATTTCCCTGTTCCCTTTCTCCTCCTCTTGTGACAATGTCTGGGCTGACATGTGCTGTGTCTCTTAAGTGTGTGCCAACAGCTGACATGGAGAAAGTAAAGTCAGGAGCAAGTCTGCTGGAACGAGAGAACAGCTTGGGAATACTGTGAAGTGCTGTGCTAGAGATTATATTAGTGGACCTGAATGATCCTTTGCACCATCTGAACTGCAGAGGGAAACCTACACTTTCATTCCAGAAAGAGGAAGATGACAGCAACTGGGTTTCTTGCTGAATTGTCATCATCTCCATTCTCCATTTTACCAGGGGAGAAGTGAGGACAATGGGAAATAGATGGATCTGCTAAGTCACACCATGAGTGAGGAAGACAGGCATGTGCTGGGTGAAAATTCATGTGTTGCTTGGACTCAGAAATAGGTAGTTTTCCCCTTAACTAGAGGGATATGCTAAGAAACCAAATAATTGAAGAGATGCACTTCAAGTTCTTAGCTCCACTATTACCATACTTTGCTCTTTGATCACTGGTAAGGTACCAGGAGCTGACTGGTTAAGACTTCTATACCATGTAAATCAACATAGTCCCATTGCTACCTCAGAGGCTACAGAAGGGTGAAATGTTTTACTGCTTTATGGTTAAATGAGCTAGCAGCTATTACAAAGAACAGAAAAAGAACTAAGTGTTGTCTCATCAGCTGATAAATTTGATCCAGTGCAAACAAGTGCACAAACAGATCCTCCCAAACTAAGATGATTATTATAGTATTCCATCCAGCAGTTTACGCCTATAATATTCACCTTAAACTTGCAATGAATTAGTATGGAAAGAACTAGAAGAATGCAAATTGTTATTCAGTTAACACTTAGTTCTGGACATTGGTTGCTTGAAGAAGAACAAATGTGACAATTTACAATGTGGAGGTCAATAAGGAAACACTAAACAGAAGCTGGACAAAACAACACGGAGGATGATGTTGCTATGTACCATTCCATTAGATACAGCAAAAACCCAAACCAAACCTACCTGCAGCTCCAGCTGAGCAGGCAGCATTGAGGGAGAGAAAAATAGTTATGTTATGCAATGGACTTGAAACCAGAAGCCTTCACTTCTGCAGGTCACCACGAGGGCCAGCTCTTGTAGCTGGAGTTTACTCTTTACTTAGGCATAACTCCTTTGAGGTTCTTGCCTTAGGAAACACTAAGCAGATCCTCCAGGTTTACCCTGTAGTAGTAAATGCCTGAGGGGAGTTAAAGGGCAAAGATAAACCCCACAGATCATCTTGAGGGTGTTCTGTGACCTTTCATGTTTTCTCAGAGTTGACTAACAGTGATGTGATGCAGACTGCAGAGCCATGGTGAGAATGAAATGCTTTTAGCAGGAGGGAATAATTAAGGCAGGATGACAACAGGGCGAGGATTACAAGAGTGGAAAAGTTAAGGAGCAGGGACTTCTTTTAACCTCAGCTTACTGTTTGTACTCTTTCTTATACAACTGGTTGCATTTCTTTCAGCACATGATTTGTGCTTTCCAAACCACATCCCTATCCCTGCCGGTGTTTGGGGTCAGCACATTGACACTCTGGACACTGCCCCGAACTGAATTAAAACCAAGTATTTCTTTTGGCTGCAGACCAAAACCTCCCTCTCATTTGCTACAAGAGTATCTTGAAGGGTGGGTGTATCTTTTCAATACTGAGGACATCACTACCAGATTTAAGGCAGTCTGATCTTCAAGGAGACTCCACTCTAAAGCAGAGGCTGAAAGTGAACTGATCTTATCAGGATTGGAACCCTGGAGCACTAGAGATCAGTGCTTCTAGCTAGAATGAAAGCACTCTGAGCATCACTGCCTCAAAGCTTAGAAGAGTTGAAGCAGTTCACAAAGAATTACTGGTTTTGAGAATTAAATCCTAGATGAGTAATAAGGAAGATACTGAGCTACACAGGTCTCCAGGTCAAGACTTCCTACCTGTTCTTTGGAAGCAAATGATATATATACATTTTAAACCCGTATGTTGGCTTGTTTGCAGTATTTTAGTGCATGTTATGGGAAGGAGGTGCTGGGAACAGTTGGACTGAATGAGTGCTCACAGGCTCCTAGAGCTTGCTGTGATTTTACACTTGTTAGTTTCCTTTCCTCTCAAGTTCTCATTGCTCACAGCCTGATGCAATACGGAAAGGTGCTACACAACCATCCATCTGCCATTCTGCCCCTGCCCTGAAGCATCTCCAGGACTCTGCTGTAGGGGAAGTTAGGGAGATTTGGACATAGAAACATGTCACTGAGGACTAAACCACCACTGCACTCCTCTGAGTTGTCATCCACTTGTGATGAATTCCCAGGGGACAAAAGCTGAGCCACAAGGCAAAGAACTTCAGAAGTTCTGTCCCTTTTTTCCCCTCACATTTACTGTCCCAGAAGACCTCAAGTTGACATCTTAGGTTCCAAAATGCAGGGAAACAGGCAACACTTTCTAATCCCTTCTCCTGAGGAAGCTGTGGCATCTTGTAAGCAGTAAATACCCACGCTCTTCCCTGTCAAACACTCAGCATCTGTCTTCATGCTCCATTATCCACCCTTCAATACATTCAGTAAAAATCCCCCAAGCTTTTAACATACCAAAGTCAAATGACCGGTAGGAACTTGTCATTCAGAGAGTGCATCTGATACGGTTACAAATTCTGCAGTCTTAATGTGCCTCAGCCAACTTCTTCCTTTAAGATATTCCACTGCGTTTATGGGGTAACACCACCACTGGTCTCATATATACTGCTATAAACTGAGAGCAAAATTTGCCTCAACGTCTTCCTATATGGAAAAGTTCCTCTTTTCCCATCCTTTCTCATCCCCTCAAATGGATTCTTACCCCAATTGCAGCTGCTCCCTTCTGTAATCAAAATTTTACACATGGAAGAGAAAGAGAAAGATTGGAGGCTAAATAAGCCAATCTCACACTTACATGGCTTGAAGGATTATTTGCTTGAATCATTTCCCTCCCACACACAAGCAGAGGAAAAACAGCTCACCCAGTTGACACAGAGCTCAGGCTGAAAGCGTTTGCTGTCAGTACAGAAATCTCCTAGCACAGGTTTTAGCTTAAAGACACGCAGGTTTTTTGACCCCAGGAAAGGCTTTTTTCACTAACTATCACCACCTAAATGAATCTAAACTGAGGTCGTGGTTCCTCTTTGGCAACTATTCGCAAGGGAAGAGTTGTGAGGGGCACAGATGGTGCTGTGAGCAAGTCTGTGCCACAGTACCATGATTCAGCCGGCTGCCTGAAGCACTCCTGCTTGCCAGCTTGGATGGACTGTGTTTCTGTGAAAGAATTCCTGTGCTGGGATTGAATCTGCTCCAACTGGTGACCTGTTCTCAGTAGCATCTCATGATATACTAGTTCTTTACATGAGATTTGCCTTCCTCTCAGTGCAGAGAGGCTGAAAGGAACGAGATGCTTTATTTGGGATTTGGATATAGATACAAGAGTGGGAGAAAGACCAGCTGGGTCCTGGCAAGCAGGTCCAGTGTTCTCCACGTGGCAGCAAATGGAGAGGGAGAGAGAAGATGTCACCTGCTGCCCTCTTTGCTTACCCTGATACGCTTTGCTCGCCTCATGTCATCTGCTGTCATGGTGCTCTGCGTGGGCACCGGGCTCTCATCGTGCTGCGCCTGCATTTGTAGCGGGTGGTTTTCCGACTGCTGCTCCAGCGCAGACTGTGGCTCTGGTGGCACTGGAGTCTGCTCCTGCTGCTCCAACCCGTTCAGTGTGGCTTGTCCGGCCTCATCAAACTGCCCCTTGCTGGAAAAATGCAGCAAGTCCTGAAATCGCAAATCATACAACCAGTGATTATTCCCCCCACCCACTGAAAGAGGCTTTGATAATACTCAGCAGGCAGCAAGATCTCTACATGCTCATCACAAGCTGGAAACAAAATGTTTCTACACTAACATGTTCCTACTGTGTTCCACTGATGCTCGCAGCACATCACCTCCACCTACAGCAACAACATTCAGAGCGCCAGGGAAGCAGCGCTGCAGGTTGGTGACTCTCTTCATAGACTGGCTTGGGTTGGAAAGGACCTTAAGATAATCCAGTTCCAACCCCTGTTCATGGGCAGGGATGCCTCACACAAGATCATGTCACCCAAGGCTCAACCTGGCCTTGAACACTGCCAGGGATGGAGCATTCTCCACTTCTCTGGGCACCCTGTGCCAGCGTCTCAGCACCCTCACAGGGAAGAGCTTCTGCCTTATCTCCAACCTGAACTTCCCCTGTTTCAGTTTGAACCCATCACCCCTTGTCCTATCATTACAGTCCCTGATGCAGAGCCCCTCTCCAGCATCCTTGTAGCCCCCTTCAGCCACTGGAAGCTGCTCTGAGGTCTCCACGCAGCTTCTCTGCTTCAGGCTGAGCAGCCCCAATGTTCTCAGCCTGGATCCATGCAGGAGGTGCTCCAGCCCCTGAGCATCCTCGTAGCCTCCTCTGGCCTTGCTCCAACAGCTCCATGTCCTTCTGATGTTGAGGACAACATCCTGGCCACCATATTGTCTGACTGGACACAGATAATCAAAGCAACCCAGCTGTTAATAGCCAAAGAAGATCTTCTGCTCATGACTCATGACTGCTACTGCTTTAACCAAAGGTGACATAAGATGACCCATGAGGAAACAACCCAAACCACTAGCAGAGACCAGGGAAAGCAGAGAATTTGTGTCTCATTGTTGTCACTTTGAAACATTATCATGTATTGTTATGCACTGTATTCTCCTGTCTAACAAACAAGCTGGAGTGCTGGAGAGTGACAAACGAGCTGATTAAACTGTGCACTGTGCCTTTTGCCATCCAGTTTCCAAGCTCTGCACGCTCTCATCTACCCAGCTGCATGCATCATTTATATTTATCACACAAAGCAGTTTGCCTCCTCTTCCACGTAAAAGGCAGGGTGTCGGGAGCAGGAAGCACATGCAAAAAATCTACATTCTTTTTGCAGAGGTTCCAGTAACTCCTCTGCAATGGAATTCTCTTCTATTACAAGAAAAATAATCCAACATGGATCTTTACTTGACAGCACTTAATGCAAACCAAGGCAACTTAAAAGCCCAAGTCAGGAGAGGGAGCACTAGAAGTATATCATACTTTGGTACTGCCAAAGCACAAACACAGATGTGGGAGAACTAAAACAGGGATGTGCTAGAAGGAGTAGAGCTGTTGTAAACCACAAACGCTTACCAGCTAAGAGACACTTAGAGCAATACACCAGTCAAATGTCTAGTCCTGCTCTAGGGGGCTAGTTCCCACAGTTACTGACCCTAAACTGTGCTCACAGCATCCCCAGTCTCAAGCTGTCAGGCAGATGAACTTGTGCTCAGTCCTTAGTGACACAGACCAACTTCCAAGGGCTTGGGATACAACCGTAGCCCCATTGGAGTGTACAGACACATATGAGCTCTGGCCCAGGCTCCAAGCTGGCAGGACACGAGGCACTGCTGGTCCAGAGGCCATTCAGACACATTAGGACTGCACCCTGTGTCTCTGTAGTTAAGAGTTTGGGAACAGCATTATGCTTACTCCTCTAACTGGAGCTGGCTTGTGTCATGTCAGATTGCAGAGAGGGTGATCTCCCAACTGCCTGCAAGTAATGCAGCATTTAGGGCACTGCTGCAGCCTCAGAAGATGAGTGGCAGGCATTCACAGGCAATGTAGATATTCCTCCCTCTGAGTCAGCACTGAACCATGAACCAGTAAGATGCCAGAGGAAAATTACCTCTCAGATAGATAGCAGCTTTCAGCTGAGTCATAAACCAGAGCCACTGAGCCCTCCTGACACCTTTCAGCAAAGCTCTTGGTGGTAACCCAAGCATGGTCAGCAAGAACTGAGCATTTGACTTAAATGCATCATACTAGGTCCCTACAGAATAAAACCAACAGCAAAGGAAATCCTTGCAGGAAGCACGCCTGCAGGAGGCTCTTTTGTTAATATTCAGACATCGTGAAGAATCATAGCTCAAACTGATTTAATTCTACCAGCAACAGCTCTAAAAGCAGGCTCTGACCTCACGTTCCAGAAAGGACTAATAGAAACCTAAATTCCCATTACACTTTTACTGCCTAAATTACTTTCGTGATGCTGCTCAAGTGCTGCAATAACCCACCTCAGTGCTACGTGCTTAGTGCTCAAAGCTGCTGTAGAAACATGAATGATTTTACAGTTGTTACAGAAGGGAAGCAGAAAATCACAGCTAGAAAAGCAAGAATTACTTGGGTGTAAGTCCCAAGGACACCCCCAGTTTGCACTGATACCCCAAGTTTACATCCTATGAGTTTTTCCTCCTTTCCACCCCCTAAAATATACCTGTGTCCCTTCTTCACACTTTTCCCCATTTTCACTGGTTGCTTCCATACGCATGAATTTGGGAGGGCGCCCGGGGCGCCTGCCTGGTCCAAACCTCCTCTTCCCTCGGCCACGACCTCGGCCTCTGGCTCTGCAGAACACATGGAACTCCAGGTTAGAGACAAAACAGGTTGGATTTGGAGTCTCCACTCATTGTGCACATTCTCTCTCAGCATCATTCAACTCAGTAACCAGACCATACAACAACTGATTTGATTAAGTGTGTGACCAAAAGGATTATTGGCTTCTAGCAAGTCCTGTGCTGTGGCAACTCTCCTACTTCCAGTGTGCCCCATGAGGAGGCAAAGCACTACAAGCCTTGTTCTCCAAGCTCTGTAGCCGCCCACATCCAAGAAGCATTATGTATTCCAATATTGTGGTACTGAAATAATGCAGCTTTTTCAGTCACTGCCAAAACAACCCAAAAGCAAACCAAAATCATGTCACCAGTTCCAATGGGGTGTTTATTTCCCTTACGCTGCTTCTATTGCAAAGTCTCTTACAGCAATCAGCTTCCTGGTGCCATGTTCTTCCCTTCTGGTGCTGAGCTGTTCTCCCACAGGCATCCAGGTCGGACAGCAAGACCTCTAGGACAAAACCCCTGCTTCCTGCCAGTTTGGGGACACACCAGAGTGACAAGGAGGCAAAGCCTTCAGTACCTGCTGAAGAAGTCCAGCTTCTCATCGTGGGAGTTGAGGTGCTGCTGGAGCTGCTCTGAGCTCATGAAGCGCCGATTGCACTCGTAACAGGGCCAGTTCTTCTCTTGCTCTCTGAGAACTATGTTCAAAGGGAAAGGTCAGGAAGAGCATCTCGGTCACCACCGATGAAATGCTTCATTTGGTTGGTTGGGGTTTCTTTTCTCCCTAAGCCATACTTCTCCCCTAAAGGTTAGACAAACTGCAGAGTATCCGTCACACTGGTCCCTTTATCCCCTCTGCACTGTGGCATGACCACAGCTCATCACAGAAAGATAAAAAGGTCACTGGGGACAGTTCACATGGACTATAAGCACCACTTAAAACTCAGGGAGATTCTGGACTTTACCTTTGCATGGAGAAGCACCTACAGGATTGGATCTCTGGCACAAGTATGGGGAGGTCAAGAGAAGCTCTCAATCTAAACCCGCAGCACATCAGGTTATGAGAGACTCAACATTAAGCACCAAGCACAGAAACATAGCTCTTTCCAACAGCAACCTAATGCTTCCCATAGACTGAGGCAAAAGGTTAAGTTATTGCAGTAATAGCATGAGAAGAGTTAGTAGAAATAAGCCCCAATAACACAACCAAGATCTGGTTTAACTTCTCTTAACCTAGCAAAAACTTGGGAGCACTAGACAAGCTGTGTACTTGAAACAGAGAAGTGCAACACCCGAACACTGTCACACAATAAAACCCAAGAGAAGAGCCCAAGTTACCCTTCCTTTCCTCCTCGGATATGTCATGGATCTTCTGGTTCACAAACTCTGCATAAGAAGCAGCATACCACACCTGCAGCAGGAAGAAAAGATAACAGAATGCTCAGATGGAACCAGAACTAGAGGGAATCCATTTGAAAGCAGGTTTTAAGCAATGCATTTACTTCACTTGCCTCAAGCACTAACTCTTATCCTCAATAATGAAGCCTGTTGAGATCAATGTGCCCTCACTGACGAATGGAAGAGCTTTGCTCAGAAGGCATATCCATTTAATTTTAAGGTACAGCCTCCTAATATGAATGTTTATCTCACACATGGCTACCAGAAGCTCTAAAGGAGATAAAATTAATCTCTTCAGACCCAAGTGTATGATTGAAAAGGATGGGTGTCACCCAAGTGCTGGTCCTTGGTGGAACAAGAGTAATAGGAAAATAATGTCCATTTCTTTCCTGCTTTCTGTCCACAGAAAACAGGCAGCACCATCCACAGAGACTCACTTCAAATGCGCCTGAACTTCTGAAGGATTGGAGCAAGATGGTCCTGCTTCCCAAAACAAAGATCTGCCAGGCTGCAGCTGGATGGACCCACCTTCAGTATACAGGGGATTTCGGGAGCTTTCAGCAGGGAGAACCAGACAGACACACTTTATTAGAGCCTAAAAATCAGATGTTCACTTCTAGCTGAGATTTCTTGCCCCATTTGTCATTTTATCTTACTGTTTGATTAAAAAGGTCCCGTTTCAGAAGAGATTTCTACAAGAAGGCATTAACAGATTCTCAGCATGAAAAATCTGGGCAAGTTTAAACTTGCAGTAGGCCACATAGCAGCAGTCAGTGGCATTTCTAACTCCCATAAAGGTGTGTGTTCCTCGGCAGGAATCTCACTAGCTGGGTAAGAAGCAAGCCTTGGAGCTCCTAGACCTGTCATGCAATACACAAGTTCTCAACTTTAACTGGTCCTCCACTTAAAGGAGGTTTATGTTTTATAATTTATGTCCATCTTTGGATATAAATTATAGCCCTGCGTGGGGAGGAGAACACATTACAGAGCCTGGATCATTCAATTCTCAAACCAATTTTACCCTAAAAGACACTACTTACACATAAAGGAAGAAAAATGCTGCTGCTGCATGCAGGTCTGTGCACATTTCATTAAAGTCTGATTTCCAATTGATTTAAAAACTTGAGAAAATGATGTTTGGATGCACTTCAAATGGATTAACAAGGTTTCTAGTGATTCAGCTTAAACAAATTAAGGACTGATGCCAGAGAAACCAAAAGGAACCTTACAAGAAGTGTGCAAGGAGGCTTTTGGCCTGGTTAAAATCCAGGTTTTTGTTACATTGTTGAGAATAAGATTTGAGGAAGAAAAAGCCTTTTCCTGATATCAAAGTGGTTTGGTTGCCCCCAGTTCCCCACATGATGCTGAAGACGAAGGTCATCTGAGCCAGCCACGTTGCTTGGAACTCAGAGTAACACATTGTAGAGGGAACAGAAAGTAACTCGCAGGGAAGTCACAATATCCTTTATCATTTTCCACATGCAAAGTTTCCAAAGCTCCAGGAAAGCCAGGGAAAGCGAGAGCCCACAGTCACTTAAGGCACCAGACAAGAAGTCAAGGGCACCCAGGGCTAACTGGAAAGGGCATCCAGAACTCAAAAGAATGAGACTGCTGCAATAAAATTAGACTGCATCAGCAAAACAGTTGCAGTGTAAAAGCATGAGAGTGACAAACCAATCATGTGCATACTGATCTCAGACTTCCACTGACCTCAGTGATGTTCGATTCATGTGCTTGATGAGAGAAGAAAAGCCCTAAAACTATGGACAGAACCATTCCTGGCACTTGGAAATGCACTTATTAAACAGGAACCTTGAAGGTTCGATTTCATCAGTAGAAAAATGAGCCCCAAACCATGAGTAATGCCATACCTTGAGTTCCTGCTTGGGCTCCACGTTTTTAATGGTGGTGTAGTAAATGTGGTGGCCATACTGATACGCAACCAGGTTCTGCTCCAAATGGTTTTGAGCTGGACGCACAAACATCATCCAGTTACAAAGTGCCTCGCTAGAAAGTTCAAACCACAGGTCCTCTTGCAAATCTCTGTCTTTTCTGTCCCCCTTCTCAAGAGAAACCTGTAGCAAAAGCCAATTACATGTGGCTGTAACTGCCTGGCAGCAGGTTCAGAAGCCTTTGAGTTGCCCATACAACTATTACATTAGGAAAGCTAATGAAGGCATCATTGATTTTCTTTCTCTCTGCTAACAGGGATCCAGAAACAAGCAGCATTTAGGAAAACACTTAGAAGACAGGCAGAGATTTAGCCAGGGAGACACGATGGCCCCTTCCACAGCTTTCAAGGGCAAGAATCATTCATTAAAAGCATCAGCCACAGTACTTGACATGTGGCTGTAAATGAGGCATGAGAAGCTCTAGCTTTAGCAGGTTATATGGCATCAGCTGTCCAATGTTTCTAACTGCCAAATCCACTTCATTGCTTTCCTGACTCAAGCTGGAAGCAGTGCTGCTCTAGCTCAATATTGGCTGGGTTACTGGATCTGCCTGGGGTCACAACTTGCTTGGCAGGCACTGACCATCAGACAGCAGCGCTCCTAAGACTGCAGACTTCATCTCTAGCAGATAAAGAACCAATTTCCACAATCAAACCAGTAAATAACTGGATAAAAGTCAGCCAAATCCATTACACCTCAACTCCAACATCCTTGCATGAAGAAGGGGTGAAAAATCTCTCCCCTTCCCTACATTTTATGGGGGAGAGGAGGGAAAGGGGAGTAAAAAGTACTTTTAACTTAAGTTACAGCGTGACACAAACGAATGGCTGCAAAACATCCTCAGATGGGGCTATTTTTATGCCCAGATGCTGCTTCACCCTGTGTGAAAATGATTCACAGCATTCCATGTTACTCATCCTATACACCGTAACACCATACTGCCAGAATATTCACCATGATTATTGTGTCTCCATGAATAACAATAGATTTCAAGCCTGTCTGGGTATTCCCAAGTCACATTCGGAGACAGAAGTATCAGAACAACATCTTTAGTGAAATAACTCATCAAGGCAGACTGACAAATTCATGCTAATTAAAGCTTAAGCACAAATGGATCCCTCATCCCCTCTCGTGCACACATGGCCTTACCTTCAAATGGATATAGCAGTCTTTGAGTTCTGTTTGTCTAACCAGGGGTCCTTCCACAGGTCCAAACTGTGTGCGTTTGGGGATCCTCCTTTTGGAGAACACGCCTCCCAAAAACCTGTCTATGTAGAGCACCAAGGGAAGGCTGGCTCTCGCCCTGGTCAGCACAGGCCTGTTTGGGATTGGATGCAATGGTCCGTGTTTTGGACACACAGAAGGATGCGCGTTATTACACTCTTCACACCCTACAGCACAAAGTCAGAGAGGACATGACTGTCAGACAGACACTCACTCAGCTCAGAAGGCACAGCCTCATCTTGTTCTAAACTTCATGTATTCCAATAGTCTGTCTACATCTTAAAGCATTAGAGAGGGCAGCTGCCTCCAAAAGGAAGAATAAAGCAGTTCCAACGCTCCACCTGAGACAGAACCTTGTTTTTGCAGTAAAGCAGCCCAATTTGAGCCTACATCTCTGGGTATCAAGGAATTTACTTATTACTGCTAACATCTGAACAATTTTTACTAGACAGAGGAAAAAGAAATAAGAGGAGGGCAACACACTACACAATACTTCCAACGCTTACACAAATCATTGGGATCAAAGGGTCGAGGTGGATCTGGATCCCATTCATCCATGTCAGTGTCCTCCCCCTCTTCATCCTCATCTTCATCCTCATCATCTTCCTCTTTTGTTTCCATCCTTCCCATTTGATTCTGCAGAGGTGCTAAAGGGTCAGAACCATCCACTGCCTCCATAGGAGGTAACACCTGGTTATGCACCGGTAACGATGCCTGGAGGAGAGAATTCACAAACTATCACAACTGAATCATGAAGGAAAACTCTTACAAAGACAAGCAATGAAGCTTCTTGCTAGTTTAACCCTTTCTGCTTCCTTTGGTAATGGAAAGAAGGACAAGGGAAAGTGAAGTGACATGATAAATGATTGCTGAGGGATGTTTTGCATCGCTGCTACCCACAGCATCACTCAGGACAGCTCTGGGTCACTCACTACCTGGTTCTACCCTGTCAAGAACTCACTACTCAGGAGAAGAAATTGAAATCAAAGCAGCTCTGGGCCCTCACAGAAACCAAGCCCAGGCTCTGTGGAAATTATCTAGAGCCTAAAGTTGTAATTTAGCTTCTTTTGTGCAAGTGAGAATCCTGCACTTCAGCACATGATCTTTTCCATCATGCAATCACCCAAATTCAAATCCCCAGAGCACACATGCAGAGATCATAAGGGATGAGATACAGAGAGTCTAGATACAAACTTGGGGACATAGTGGACAGTTGAGGGCACTGTATTCTTTCCCTAATTTTAAAGTTTATCCCTTTCTTCCTCTACAAAAAGAGACAAAACTAATTGGAGTGCACTGCACAGAATGTTCTAGCACCCACACAGGTTCCTCAGGTACAGAACAAGAAATACTACACACAGCAAAGCTGCCTCCAAGACTGGCAAAGAGACCCGATGGATGTTGGTCCTGTGTGACAGTCAGCATTACACCTTCTGTTAACTTGGGTTTCAAAGCTGAGAAGACTATTTTAAGGCGGCTGCCCAAGGCAGAACAATCTGTAGAACAGGTTTTTATGTATATTAAATACATAGACTGGTTTGAGTTGGAAAGGACCTTAAAGCTCATCCAGTTCCAACTCCCTCCCATGGGAAGGGACACCTTCCACTAGAGCAGCTTGCTCCAAGCCCCTGTGTCCAACCTGGCCTTGAGCACTGCCAGGGATGGGGCAGCCACAGCTTCTCTGGGCACCCTGTGCCAGCGCCTCAGCACCCTCACAGGGAAGAGCTTCTGCCTTGTATCCATCCTGAACTTCCCCTCTTTCAGTTTAAACCCATCATCACCCCTGGTCCTATCACTACAGTCCCTGAGGAAGAGTCCCTCTCCAGCATCCTTGTAGCCCCCTCCAGATACTGGAATGCTGCTCTCCTGCAGGAACCGCATACACATGCTGAAAGACAGCACCAATTTGTGCTCCAGCTTTCTCCCATCTCCTCCCGGATCACAGACACGTCCCATCACCTGAGACAATGGAGCAATGACATTGGTGTACATTGAGAAGAAAAGGGTGCCTGGCAACTTACTCTATCTGCTTGAGGACCCTGCTCCAGAGCCATTTGCTGGGGGGGTTCAGCAACGCTGCCGAGCACGGACAGGTTGGTGGGATTCATGCTCTGAGCAGCAGCAGGCAAGAGCACAGTTACCTAAAATCATAGGCACTCAGTTTAGCACTGCAGCATTTCCATCATGCCCTGCATGCAAAGCTCCCTGGAGTCCTACACTAGGTCAAAAACTGCAGCATTGTCATGGCTTTCGTTAGTAAGTAGAGATGATGGACTTGGACAAAACCTGCGGATCTGGGGACAAAGGGAAAAGCTTCAAAACTCACTCTAGATTCTGCAACTTCTGCATTGCCCATCTCCCACTTCTGGCTTTAGATTAAGGTCCTACTCAGCCTGGGTTCAAACTGCACTAAGGCAAGATGTGAGAAGCTCTTTAGCTCTTGGTCAAAACTAGGGATTTGAGGTCTTTCTCTCTTCTACGTCTAAATTTACCTTCTTTTGTTTTAAGGGGAAAGGTAAAGAAGGAAAAAGCAGCATCTCCTCTTTGCACCTTTCTTTAGCAAACAAAATCCATTCTAAAACCAAGATGGTCTATTGACCCCATTGGAAGATCAAACACCCACGACTATTCCAACAGTGATCCTTTTCCTTGCATTGTCTGGTTACACTGCACATTTCTGGTTGTTTCCATCCCCAGTTTTGTTACTACACAAAAATAATGCATATTCCCACAGCATTCCCATTCATTCTGCTACGAAACAAAGCAGAATTAAGATCCTAAGAATCACCTTTCCTGCCTTTTGTTTCCTGCTTATCTACACGGGAATTTGCACCATTATCTCGCCTGATTTCTCATCCTCTGCAGCTGACATCATGTAGCTTCTGCTTTGTGCCTCTGACTATTAAGCAGCTTTTATGCTAAAATTAAAGCCTCTGCACAGAGTGTTTAACAAATACAGATAAAAGTGAGAACACAAGTTGTGCCAACAGTGAAGGAGCAGACAAGAACATCTACAACACAAGCAGACAGCCTTAAAACTTCAAATCTTGTTTTGTTCACAGTAATTCATGAAACAGTATAAAGACTACAGGAAAAAGACTTCAGGAAAGCTGAACCAAGCTGCCTGGTGCTGCATTCTCTGAGGCCAAGTGACAGCTGGAAAAGCATCAGTATTCAGTGGCACCTCCAGCAATGAGAGGTGCTTGTGTCTGTACCTCCTATTAGGATTTCCTACTACTAATCACACTTTAAGCACATTCTGACTTCCATCAGTGCAGGAAATACAGGCATGAGATTTAAAACCTCCCAGTTTCTTTTCGAGATGAGGTTTCTTCTGAAAGATAAGTGGAGCTTTAATTCCTATTTTAACCTGTTGACAGTGCAGGGATGTCCCACATGAAATGCCTATGTTAAAACACCTGCAAAGGCAGGAGCTGTCACCGTGAGGGACCAACCACTTGCCAGCAGTGAATAGCCCTGCTGGGGCTGCCATCAGACAGCATCAAAAGGGAGGAAGGGCTGAGGACAGACAAGTGTTCATGCCCTTGATACTCCACACAGGGTACTAAAAGCACACATCCTTTGCAGTGTCACTCACACTGCACATAGAAATAATGTCCACTTTTAATTAGATCCTGTATTTGTTCTATGAGCTTTAAGACAACTCAATAGGGTTTTCTGGCTTCTTCATGCAAAGGTGGTGATGTGGTAAAATACATTCTGGATTCCTCCAGAGAACTGGAAGAAAACGGGTAGCATCTTTACTGGGTCACTCATTTCCTCAACGATTTAAAAGGTCTTTTTCTAGCAAGAAAATTGGCTTTCAGTGCACATTCAACCCTGCACTCTGCCCCAAGACTGTCAATAAAGATGTATTTAAACTATAGCTTTAGCCATGACTCCATTGACATGTGCCATTAAAGACTCAGCAAGCAGTAAGGGTTTTAAGTCTTTATGACAAGCAGGGAATTGGAACTAGAGGTCTAGATCTGAAAGCACCTCTACCTGATTACCACAACACAGTCCCTAAAGATACTAGTAAAAGTTAACAATAAAACCTTCCCATTGTGATGGATGAGAAAGGAAACACAGGTTCCAGCTTCATTCTGGCCCTAGTCTCCTTTCCACCAGCACATGCCTCAAACCTGGGATGCCCTGGGAAGAAAAGGGAGCCAGTAATAAACTTCTGCAGGATTTGCACTTAATTTCCTGGGAAGTTTTTAGTAAATGTAGAATTGGATCCAAAGTTGCTATCCCTTGAGAGCCTCTTCTGGATTTAAAAGGCATTTGGATGAGAATCTGGATGAGGCCAGCTGCAAAGCTGGTCTTTCCAGAAGGACACACTAAAATAAATCAGCCACATCAGCTTGCTGACTTAAAGGGACACTGGTGAAAGATTTTGCAATCTATCTAGGGCAATAAGTATTTTTGTTGAACATGAATTAAGAAGAGTAAACTCAAACTCTCTTTTGTCATGCATGCACAGCAGCTTGTTATCATAAGCTTTTTGCCCTTCAGGTTGAGATGACAGCACACAACTGAAGACTGCCATGTGACAAGGTCAGAACTAGCTTATATTAAGGTCTAGCAAGACAGCAACATCTCTCCACCTTCAGCAACAGTCTCCTTAACAGCTCAGGCCCAAGAAAATTCATGTCTCTTCCTTACCTGCTGGGTGGTGGCATCCTGTTGGACATAAGCCACTTGGGAGGGATCTGTAAACAGAGTCTAGACAAAGTGAAAAAGGCTTATCAAACCAGCCTGGGGGCTGCCCACTCCCAACTCACACCACAGCTACCCTGCCACCCAGAAATCAGCCCCACTTCACCCTCTGCTAACGTGTCTGTTAGCACAGCAGGTTAGTTCAACTTACCCAAGTGCAAAGAAATTCAGCTAAGCTCAGGTAGTTTAAAACATGATACCACACTGAAGTGGCACTTTTCACCCATATACTGGAGTGCCTCATGGGAGTTTTTCTTCTCTTTTCAACACAGAAATCACTTTGTCAGGTGTTGGTTTGAGAAAGTCTACAGGATGAAATTCAATAGCTGCATGAAAACTACATAATACTTGAGGGCAGGACAGAAGATAACCCTTACATTTATCTCCTGCAAATTCACAAGACTTCTGTGTGCCGCCTTCTGAGGAATTATCAAGCATACCCCACATGTGAATTTCATCAAGCCAGGATGTCAGCTCTTTTTCATTTCACAGCAGACATGCCAGCTCCAATATTCTTACAGTAGCCTGCAAGAACAGCCCTGATGGGAGGGCTTCCCCCTTGGAAAAGCAAGACTTACATGAAAACTACGTACTGATAGAAGTCAGCCTTGCTAACTTCACTAAAACTCGAGACATCTGAGCTGGTGGCAGTCTGGCTCCAACCAAATACAGCATGGCATAACACCAATCCCATTAGGGCTTGGAGAATTTCATCTCAGTTGCATGATAATGTCTTAATACTGCACCTCTTTGTTCTAATGGAACAGCTAAGAACTGTGCAAGAGTGAGACCACAGCACAAGGCTATGCCAGCGTTGCTGTGGGTGTCAAGTACATGCACTCTGTAGCACTGCTAATAATAATGTCAGCTAAGTCATTATAAAACATGCTTGACAAAGCATGCCTGTTCCTCTTGCATTATCTGCGCACAGACGTACTACATTAACTCCCCATAAACATGTGCTGACAGAGAATAAAAGCTGTTTGATACAATTATGAAGAGGAAAAAGATTCCAAGTCTATAAAATCAACAATATCCCTGAAGCTAATTCTAGAAAATGAGATTGAATACACCGAGATCCTCTGCAAAGACATGGCTGTCACTGTAACTGTCAATTATGAGAACTGTACTATGCAAAACAAGGACTCCTCCAGAAGACACACAGATTGCTCTTAGCTTTGTACTCAATACAACAGAGGCAGAGTTTCTGGAGAGATTATCTGTCTTTTGGAAAACACCTTTGAGCTAATTATAATCTCATCCACCTTCAGTGAAATAATTCATGGCCTCAACATCCTTTGAGTCCCACATTTGCACATCAGACAAATGAACACCACAAAGTCGCTGTTTCAACACCGGGCAGATAAAAGCGCAAAGAGGAACTGCCTGCTATTTCCCAGTCCTACCACTTGGCTGGTAACCAGCTTCCATCTCAAACCAGCTCGTTTCCTAGGTGCCAAAACAGGGTGTGCACAGAACCACACATGCCTGCGTAGCTTCCACGGGGTGGATGTAAACCAGGGTGTGCTCAGAGGTGTCCACAGAGGTGTAGGAGGTGCCATCTGCCGTGTAGACAACCTGCTGCGAGGGACGGTCCTGCTCGTCGCTGTACACGATCTGCGCCACTGTTCCCCCCTCAGGGACAAAGTGCACCTGCAACAAAGAACACAACCTGTCTTGAAACTGGCATGTAGGCCTATGGGAAGCAACACAAGGACAGAGAGTACCCACACACATTGGGCTGCCCCAAAAGGAGCCCGAGCAGAAGACTGAAGGAGGTGATCCTGCCCCTCTGCTCTCATAAGACCCCACTTAGCTTCACTGTGTGCAGCTCTGGTGTCCTTACCATCAGAAGGACATGGAGCTGTTGGAGCAAGGCCAGAGGAGGCCACAAGGATGATCAGGGGCTGGAGCACCTCCTGTATGGAGCCAGGCTGAGAACACTGGGGCTGCTCAGCCTGGAGAAGAGAAGCTGCGTGGAGACCTCAGAGCAGCTTCCAGTGTCTGAAGGGGGCTACAAGGATGCCGGGGAGGGGCTCTGCATCAGGGACTGTAGGGATAGGACATGGGGTGATGGGTTCAAACTGAAACAGGGGAAGTTCAGACTGGGTATAAGGAAGAAGTTCTTCCCTGTGAGGGTGCTGAGGCGTTGGCACAGGGTGCCCAGAGAAGCTGTGGCTGCCCCATCCCTGGCAGTGCTCAAGGCTAAGTTGGATGGGGATGGAGCAACCTGCTCTAGTGGAAGGTGTCCCTGCCTGTGGCTGGAGGCTGGAACTGGATGAGCTTTAAGGTCCCTCCAACCCAAACCAGTCTGGGATCCTGCAATACACACTTAAATTCTCACTGAATTATGGTAACAACATAGAAATCCAGACATAAACTACCTCCAGATTCTGGTTCTACTCTGCATTGTAACTTAAGGCATAACTGGTATAAAAGGCACCTACCCATCCTCAGCTCTTGCATGATGCTCTGAATATTCCCAAGAGAAAGCAAGTTCATATTTGAACTGGGGTATATAAGGAATTTATTGGTATATTGCTTCCCTTTACTCTCATAGTCCTTTCTGGATTTATGATAATTACTGCATCCAGCTAGTTCTGTAGTTGGAGTGAATTTGTTCTGCTTGATGAATGGCTAAGAAAACCTATAACTTTGATACTACTTCAAGTAATAGCATTGCACCTATCATGAGGCACCAATAGCACATGTTAGATTGCTTCTCTGTAGCGTGTACATGCAGTACCAGGAGAAAATTCAACGATTTAAACAGAGAAACATAGAAATGAAAGCATCAAGCAATGATTCCAAGGACAACTGGAACAAGTTATGTCCAGGCCAGCAGTTTAAATCTAGAGTTCATTTTGACAGAGTATTATGACCATAAATGATGATAATGGCCTACCTTGAACAAGCCAGAATACTTAGTTCCAGTGGCAAGGGGAACATGGTTATCTTTTGACACCCTTAGCACACTGAAAACCTTGTTCAGCACACAGTTAAAATAGAACAGTTAGCAGGAAGCCTTGTTTTAGTCTCCATATTCATCCTCACATAAGATGTTTGCACATAAAACGATGCAACAGCTACATATTTGATTTACTTTACTTCACCTTGTAGCTTATGCTTCACAAGACACCTGGTGCTCCCCCACGGGTGCTAAGTGCTGATTCTGTACAATAAATCCTCATACAAGCATTGCAGTAAGGATGCAGGGAGCATTTCTCATTTGGAGAGCACTCTGCAAATACTAATTAAGCTTTCTAACTGCCATGTGCAAACAACAGCATGATTATCCCATTGTAGAGATAACAGAACACAGCCCATTGAAAAGTGCCTTTCCTTGCAAATTTCCAAGCTGGAAATCACCAGGAGAGGCAGAATTTCTCAGCCTGTGGGGCAACCACAACATGCAGCATCCTCTTCAGAACATATTCAGAAGAATAAATCAATTTACAGCCTTCCAGAAATTCCCAGCTGCATTTTGTCAGAGCAACGAGCTGCACACATCAGAATCTGACTGTATTAGTCACTCACAATTAACATTTCTCCCTTCCTCACTACCCAGATGTCTGACTGGAATGAGTTATTCATCTTACTTTCCCCAAGGTCCACCCACAATTCCAACTGATTCGACTGATGCCATCAAAACGGGCTGCCACAGACCACAGATCTGGTTAATATTCATTAGCCTGGACAGCCTTCTCTTGCCCACATGGTTGTGCATCTATTTGGCCACTGAGAATTGTATAGCCACAATGTTCAGCTCGTTTCAGATGTCTCTCCATCCACTGCTGTAGTGTGCACTGCTCACTTGAATTCAAAATCACCAGACAGGTATGATTCCTCCCCAAACAAAAGCAGAATTCCCAGACTCTGATAAAGGCTTGCATGGAAACACCACCCCAAGCAGAAACCAAAAGCTCTGGAAGACATAATTCACCTGAGCACTATTCTGTTCCTGCTCAGCAGAGTCAGCCCACACCTGAGGACCTTCCTCTTTCGAGTTCATCTCCTCCCTGCCGTGGTGCTCCATGAGGGGAGAGCTCTAGTGAAGGAATGTCTGGCTGAAGAGGTTCATCTGTTCACTGTGTTTCTGCTTCCAGAAGACAAGGTGATCTTCAGTAACATGGCTATAAGAGAAAGAAAGAAGATGGAGATATTAAAACGAGAGGTATGAGCTGTTACCATCAGCTACCACACGTGTATTGTCATTTACCGTGCTCAAGTTCTGCTGTATAATACTTATTATGTCCTATTAAGGAGGAAACAAGTGAACCATTGCTACAACTGCACTGGAGGATTACACTCAGTTCCTCCTGCACATATTTCCTTGGCCACAGAATATTCTTCACATGGTCCTTCTGGCACCTATAGGCCTTGAAATCAATAAATGATGAAGAAAATAGACCCTTCAGCTTCCAACAAGAAAACATTATGTTCGGAGATGCATCACCAGTTTCTCAGTTTTGCTCAAGAACCAACTGGGTTTACACACACGGGCAGCTTTCCCCTTGTACAACACCGCTGCCCCAGTTGGTATTCAGGCAGTGTTACAACAGGCAACTCTTAAGAACAATAAAACTTAAACTCTAATTCATGTGAGCCCAAAGACACTGAGAAATTGCTTCCAAGCTGGGTTTTATCCCATTTTATTTGGGCCTCTCAATCTGCCAGTGGGAACCTCACACGTGTAATTTACAGCTCTGCTGATGAATTTAGTCAGTGGCTCAGCACCTTCCCAGTCCTTGGTCTCTAAAGTCATATTAAATCAGGAGGAATTAGCACAAGGCTGAGCCCATTTCATTTTTCAACTTGATTTTCTACCAAGTGCCTGGTCTGGGCAGCAGGACGCAAGCAGAAGGCTCCGTGCTGATGCTTTCATTCATTTGCACATTCTTGTAGGCATAATTTATTCCCCTAAATGCCAGCAGTTGGCTTGTCACTGCCCAACTAAAATAAGGAGGATAAAAAAGAAAGCAGGCTGCACTTTCTGCCTTCTGCTGATCCTGCCAGCAAGGAGTAAGTGCAACAGACCCCAGCACTGACCGTACCACTGGCCACCACAGAAATCAACAGTACAGCAAAGGCTCAGGTTAACGTCGCTGAACTGAGTGGCAGGGGAAAAAAATATCAAAACATCACATTTCTTCCACATATGCAAAGAAAACCCGTGGGAAAGATATTTGTGGGCATCGCTAGACAGCATCTAATGGCATTACTGGTGACTAGAGCCTCACACTGGCTGTCTCATGCAGAGCAACACAGTACAGTCAGCCACAAGCAGAGGCTGAGGAGCAGTTCTGACCTCCCATCAGACCCCTAAGCTGTTACAGGGGTGAAAGAACAGAAATCCACTGATACTGCTTGATAGGAAGCATGCAGAAAAAAAAAAGCACTGAGGAGAAAAGGAAGACAGACATGTGAAACATTAACTGCAGCAAACAATGAGGAGCCATGAAAACCAAGTGCTGAAAACCAGGGCCACTTCCAAGTTAGTCAGCACGCACAAGCTCTGATCTATAAACATCCATCATCCATCCCTATATACGCCAATCCACTTGTTAATAAGGATTAATAATGAAGGGGATTTCTCATACCTAATTCTAGTGCTTTCACTGGACTTCATCCCTCACTTTACCAGCTATAAAACCACCAAGGGGTCTACAACTGTTGCGTGAAACAGTTTGTAGCTCAGTAAATCAATCTGGACACCTCCTAACATAAATGAAATGCCTTATCCTGGTGATATGCTTTGGCTGGTTTAACCCAAACACCTCTTTTCATTCACTATCAGTATTAATCAAGAGCCAAGTCAGGTAATGGCACTAAGAATAGTCAGTCATCGACTCAATTGCTTAGAAACATTAAAATAAATGCTTAATAAATGCTTCAAGTTTGGGTTTTTTTAACTGTAATTACCCTGTTAATAAGAATATAATTAATTTAAGCAGTGATGAAGAGAAAGGCACAATTCTGGCTAATTCCACACAGTGCAACAGGTAGGGTTTTTGGCTGCCCTTCCCCACAAAGGCTAAAGGAAGATGCTGACTCACTCCTGCAGACTCATTTTGGCACAAAGAGCTTACAACCTGAGTGGAAAGGAGATTGAGGAGTTCAGACAGGTCTTTCATAGACAAAACTGGGCATTAAGATTCATATTTGCCAAAATAATAGTACCAGAAAGCGGAAGAGAAAGCAGAAAACAGTCACTTCAAGTTTTACCATGCTTCCAGAAGTGCTAACATCAACTCTGAGGGAAAAAAGGTTGAGCCAAATTCAGTGGTGTAGTGTTTAAAAATGGTTCTGTTATTGCTGTTCTTCACAGAAATGAAAATACATACTCTCAGCCCAGGCAATTGTGTAGCAATGACCATCAGACACAATATCAGGAGCTGCAGCATTTGCTGCTGCTTCCAACTTCTGTGCTTCAAAATACATCCTGGGATCTGCTCTGGGATGGGCTCCTACCAAAGGTTGGATGGAAATCCATGAATTCTCATCAGGTCCATCACAGAATGGCTTGGGCTGGAAAGGACCTTAAGACCATGCAATTCCACTCCCCTGCCACAGGAAGGGACACCTCACACTAGACCAGGCTGCTCCAAGTCCCAGCTTTTATGACAGAAAAAAAGCAAAGGAAAACAGCTTTTTTTTTTTGCCTAGAAGAGGATGAGGGGGCACACAGAAAACATGGAAACGTGGATGTGTCAAGTGAGGAGTCAGTGCAAGAGGAGACAGGCCACATCCCAGAGAGGTCCCAAGGCCAGGCAATGAAGAGGGCACATGGCAGTGTTGGAATTCAGCTGGTAGGAAAGGCACTGGTGAAACACGTTAATGTCAGGAGCCGGAAACTGGTCCATAGGGTGCTCTTCCCCATGAATCCTTCATGGTCTTTTCTTCTTTAAATCCCCCTCTCAGTTTTCTCTGCAGCTGTGACACCGACAGCCACAGTGCCTTGGGATTTTAAGGATTTAAACTGGGAAGATGGCATTTTCCTGCCCGAACTAGCAGGCATGCCTCACCCAGTCCATGCTGCGGGGTGACACAAGCTGTAATAGGGGTAAATATAGCCCAGTATCACTCCAGTAAGTCAGAGTGGTGACGTAGTGACAGGACGCTGTGTCACTATATATACATATATATATGTATATATATAACTACATTATATATCATGACTCAAGAACCTGCACAGCTCCCATCAGTTTAAAACTCCAGTGGAAGATAAGCTCACTGTGACTTGTGTTTGCTGGAGCTCTGAGACAGCATCCATGGGTGCTCCAAACTACCTCATCAACAGTGAAGCAGCTCCTTATGCCTGGAAAGTGCCTTTGTGTCATTGAACAGCTCAGCATCTTGGAAACCTCATTTGAAAACTCCTTTCCACCACCACGATACTCTCTAACCACTCTCTCCTGTCCCTGCAGCATGTTGGTTTCTTTGAAGGTGGATTATTAAACCAGCACCCATGGAACATCACCTCATGGGTGCACCCAGGATCCCTAACACTAAGGAATGGGAGCAAAAGGTGCTTTTAGAGCAAACCTCCAGTAACAGCAAAGTCACTTATGTGGCACAAGTTCCTGAACTACTTGAATACAGTCAAGTCAAAACGGTGCTTCAAAGGAAAGTTCAGCTCTGAAATCCACTCAAAAGCACTACCCAAAAAGATAAATATGAACAGCAACCATATTTTCTTGGCTATTAAGTAATGATATGAATGCTGTCAGTGCTGGGACTACACAAAATACACAAAAACCCTGGTGACTTCACTTGCCACTGGCAGTGCAAGGACATGCTGCTGAGGAAGCACCCAAGCCACCGACATCTATTTCTGTCCCTTCTCTCGAGTGAGAAGAATGGGGGAATATTAAAGGTGGGCAAGGGGAAAAATCTGCTTCCTGACTCAGGGAGCCAGAAAGCCACTGCAGTATCTCAAATGAGAATCCACCATGTGTAAAACAGCTAATGTGATTTACTCCCCGGTGTAAGAGGCTTGCAGATAGGCTGGGGTTCCCTGCAGCAGTAATAGCAGGGGCTATTAGCTTAATCCTTTAAGCACTGTGCTCACTGAGCACTCTTTTCCACCACCCCCCATATGCAAGACTTTTACAAAAGAGGGTTTTACAACTATGGGTCTTCCTTAATATGAAAAGGATTTATTATGCTCCAAAGGAACATCACATGTGGCTGTAAAAAAGCTCTATCCCACACTTAAGTGAATTACCCAGCTTGCCTAGAAGGCAGAGTCCTTTCTTGAGATCTGTTGGCAGGAGCAGCTTCCATTGCAGCAAGAAGGTTTCTAACCTCGTTGAGGACTGAGTCACGACTACCGTCTCCTCCTCTGCATTCCCATCCATCAAAAGCACATCTTGTTTCAAGGAACTCTGGGCTCTGGTGCATTTTGGCTCAATGCTCACAATCAGGTAATACAGAACCACAGTATTTATGGCTTTTTCAAAATGGAAATCATACATAGGACTAAGCCAGCAAGGATTATTTATTTCCACAAGAGGCAAAATGGCTTCAATATATTTAGTTGTATAAAAAATAGCCAAACACAAACTCACTCTCTACTCAAATTGTGCATAATAAAGCTATATATATATCCTTATATATATATCCTTATGGCACATCCAGCCTCAAAGCAACAGTGAGCTGGAAGAGATCTTTTCCATCTTTCAAGGCCACTCCTCTGCTACAGTGTCCAACATGTGTCACTGTCCTTTTCCTGCTGCAGGAGCAGCTCGACACGTTGTAACTCACAAAGTACCAGGGAAACAGGGGAAAGTCTACCACAAAAGGTGGGAGAGAATCTGGGATTCCAGGTGAGCCCCAAGAGGACCAATAACCATCCCCCTGGGGACATGCCACAGGCCAAGTTGGAGATGCGGTTCCTGCGCTAAGGACATCCCTGCTGGACCCTAATTCTTGTATGAGGAAGCATTTCTTCATCTTCTGAGGGGGCAAAGAAGCAAGCCAGTTACATTTCTGTATATGCACATGGTCTGCAAACCACCTCTCTTCCCACTTGCTCCACGTCTGAATACCCATTCCAGTGACTTAATTCCTTCCTCCCTTCATGTGTGCCCATGTTCTTCACACGGTCATCTTCCAAATGGTTCATACTGTGAGGTCCCATCGCCTGTTGCTGTCACACAGTGCAAGTGTCAGGCCCCAGCTGCTTGAGGCCGTGACCCTACCTACTTCATTGGTTTGGTTTATAAATGATAGTGAGGTCTGACAAAGTGAGAAATGAGAGAGAAAATATATTCCCTCAAAAAGGAAAAAAAAAACAAGGTCTGCATCAAAATCTGTGCTCAAAACATTCAAGGCACTCTCAGGTTTTACTGAAAGAAAACCAAACTGTACCAACCACACCATTCCCCTCCAGCACCTCCTGGGCATCTTCTTGTCTCCCATCCCTTCCCCTGCTCAGGCAACTCTCCCCAAAGCTAGCATCAATCAGAGGAAGAGGTTGTTGCCCTTCCTATAAAGCATACAGTGCTGTTTCTTCCGTCTCTCATCCATCTCCCCTCTGAATTAAATCACCCCTCAAAGTTCAAAAGACAACTATAGCTTGGTTAAAACCCAACAATTTCTCCTTCAGGAGAGTTGCTTCTCTGAAGTACAAAAGACCACAGAGAACAAATTAGGCTATCTGCACATTAAAGCAGGCAGGGACTTCATGTATAACACGCCAGCTAAGGGCTACAACACACCTTCTATTTCTGCTGTGTTTTACTGGCAGGAAATAAACTGTCAAGCAGACCTGACCTCCTGTTTAAGTCAAAACAAAGCTCACAATACTCAAACAGCCCCTGCAATTAGCTACACTTAGAAGTCAATTAAAATCCAGTTTACACAGCTGACAGCAGCTGCAGGTGGGCAGAAACACACTTAAAAGTAGCTGCTGACTGCAGAGGGAATTACTATTAGTAATAAGGGGGCCAGAGGACAGCAAGCAACGCCACACAGCCATTTCTCTCTATAAAAGAGAGTGTCAATTATTCAAACAGAGAGGAACAACAACAATAATTAATAACACCACCAATTACGTTGGTATCTCATCCCATAACAAGGCAATAAAGCTTGGTATTAACCACCTAACACGCAAAACAAGTACAAACATAGTAAGGTGCCAAAAAGCATCAAAATCTGGGACATTTAAGTTCTCCATTTAAGGGCTGACCCGAGAAATACACCCTAGAAACGAAGGCATTAGAAGGCTTGAGATTGCCAACCAGTTTATTTCCACAAAAGATCTTGTAAAATCAGCTGGTGATTCATCAGCATTTCATCTGCCAACGTAAGCAACGGGAAGGGGACAACATAACTGAGTTATTCAGAATGTCACAGAAGGAAGTGGTCTCTGCTCCCACTGAAACGCTGCAAGAGAAGCATCAATAGGTATCGTAGACACGTCTTTGGCCTGCAAGCACCACAGATCTAGGGTAACACACTAGAGGCTGGTACGCAGATACCAAAACCCTGCCCATTCATTTCATTCTTGGGACTGTGAAACACAGTAGCCTAAACCCAGTTCTTAACTTTGATCTATATATTGATCTATATATTGATCTATAGTTGATCAGAGCTTCTGAGGCTCTGCAGCGAGCAGCTGAGAAGGAAGAGGTGCACGTGCATAGCTCAGAACGTCTCCTACATGTGAACTGTCCCTTTAGGATGAGCAGTTCTGAAGGACAGACCACCAGCACCTCATTTTTCCCCTCCAACCTCATGATTTAACAACCCCCCATTAACAAATTAATGCCACTGTGGCGCAGGAGGAGAGAGACGGCAGCTCAACACCGAAATCCAGGTAGCAAGAGACCTCCAGGCCCAAACAGCCACAAGTTACAACCCTATCCCACAAGAACAGGCATTACTTGGCAGCGGGAACCACGACCAACACCACAGCTTCCACTTGCCAGAGCCTCGTGCTCCCTTCAGGCCCTCGACGGATGAAGCCACCTCAGGCAGAGGGAGCGGGCAGCAAGTCCTGCTCTGCCTGTGCATGAGCTCCCTCCACACCTCAGTGAAGTGGGGAAAGGGCTGCCTTCCCTCCACACCAAGCCCCCCACAAAGCCGCCCCAAAGGCCGCTCCCCTACAAGCACCCCTCTCCCCCTTATATACCCTCTGCCCTCAACGCCAGCCAATCCGAGGAGGGGGTGAGACGCCCCCCTGCCCTCAAGAGGCCAATGGGAGGCAGGGGCGCGAGGCACGCGGCCAATCAGGAGGCGCGGGTGCCCCTCACCACAGCTCCCCAGTGTGAGAAACCAATGCGCACCCCCCCCCCCCCTTGGCGCCATCAGCCCCCCGTGAGGGAGCCCAACGGTCAGTCAGCCCCAACCACTCCGGCCCTGGGGGGGGACGGGGATGGGGGTGGCAGGGAGACACCGCACCGGGCGGGTAGAGGAGAAGGGCTGGCTTCAGCAGCCGAGGCCTGGGGAGCTGATCTAACCGCGGGGAGAGAGGCCCAGAGTAATCGGGGGATGGTGGAGGGGGTGCTGAGGTCCCCACAGCGCTGGGGGACACACGACAAGATGGCTCCGGCACCCCCCCGCCACTGAGGTGCCGGGGTCCGGACTGTACCATCCAGGGAGGGGGGGAAACAGGGGTGGGGGCAGCCCCTTCTCCCTCTGTCCGGGCCGGGTGGGGATCCCGGCTGGGGCGGGGAGAGGGGGGGGGAAGCGGACTGTACCTCTCCCGCGGGGGGGGAAGGGGATTGACTGCTCCCTGCTCCCCCCCCCCCTACTCGCGGGAGCGAACGGTTTATCCCGGCCCCAGCGCCAAGGAGCCGCCAGCTCCGGGCGCCATCTTGGGTGCGACTAAAACAACAAGTCCAAAACCCCCGGCGGGTCCCCGCGGCGGCCCCGGCTCGGGCTTCCCTCCCGGACCGTCCCATCGCGTTACCTGAGGGGGTCCAGTGCGGCTGCCGCGTCCCGGCCGCTGCCGCCGGCGCCGCTGCGGCCCCAAACCCCCCCACCTGTCCTCACCTCACAATGGTAGCTGCAGAGCGGGAGGGGGGGGGCGGCCGCCCGGACCTCATTACCATAATCTGCCTGGCAACAAGGCGCGGTGCCGCGCGCTGATTGGCTGAAACGCCTCCGCCTGCCAAGATGGGGCAGAAAAGCCCTGCGGAAAAGCCTCGCAGAGGCCAAGTCAGGGGGCTGGGGGGCAAGGGGGGGGCACCCCGGTCCACGGGGAGGGGAAGGGGGGGGACCCGTGGCCGGGTCTTTACTCCGCTCCTCGGGTAACCCGGGACCAATCAGAGCTCAGCTCTCATCCCCGCTCTGCTCCGCTGGGGGCCTGGCCACCAATCAGATCGCTCCTCTTATCGCAGAGCTCCGCCCCCTGCTGGGGAGGGTGGGAAGCGGTGCGTGGGGGGACGCGAGTAGCTCCCCCTGCTGGGAGGGCGGTGCGGTGCGGTCTGGTCTCCTAGTGACGGGCAGTGATTTATGGGCAGCAGGGCATCCCTCTTTTACCTGACAGTGAGAGGCCAGATCCATGTCTTTCCCCTTCCTAGATAAGAAGATGAGCCTGAAATCTCTCTTTGCTCCAAGCCACCCATCTGGCAGTGCCTCGGAGTGTAATTATCCCAAATTGCATAAAAACCAGCAGCCCGGTGGGTTCTAGTGTGATTTGACTCATGCTTGCAAATTAAAAGCTGAAGCAAGAGGTATTAATACCTGTCAAGGGTCAGCCCCTGAAGAAATGCTCCCAAAAGGGCGCCTTCTGTCCCAAGGGACCCGGATTGGTGCTGGCATTTCATTTTGTTTACATGGTATATGTATCCCAGAGTCCTAAATGGCAGCTCAGGGAAGGGTAATCATTATTATTGCTCAGAAATTTAACTAAGTGGCCATTCCAGTGGGGTTGTAGCTGTACTTTTGTCACCATTTGTCTTAAAGAGGTGTTTGTGTTATGGTGGCACGGCAAAATACTGCTTTTCTGATTCCTTATTTGACATTAAAACACGCTCTGAAAGCTATTTGAGGACGTATTTCTTAAATAAGACAATCTGTGTTTAGGACCTTTAATGTTTATTCCCAATGGATTCATAAACTGTACATACGTATCAACACCATTGCACCAAAGATGCAATGGGCCACTGTGGCCAACTGACCCAAAACACCCCCCAAACCCAGTAGATTGTTCACCAAAAGTGGTTCTGCTCCTCTGCCCTAGGAGAATAGAAGGGTGGTGAGATCTTGGTGCAAGGAAGTGTACTTCTCCACTGGGGCTGTCTTTTAAGAGCCTGGTCTAGCCTTTTAAACCCTCACATTGAGATGCAGGTGGATCCTGAAGCCTGTTGGACTGACCCATCTCCAGGAGCAACCAAGATGAGAGAAAAGAAAGGCAGAAATAAGTCTTTTCTAACTCATGCTTAGGACCTTGACCTTAAAATGGTAAATAAGAAGGATTTTAAAGCTGAAGGGAACATTTTGATGTTCGTTGGGTGTTTTTCCTCCTTGAACAATATTTTTTAGTCCTCTGGGCAGTTCTCTTAGTTTGAATTATGAGAGTTATGGAGTCCATTTATTCTTCTATGCTATAAACCCCATATTGATTTCATTATACCGTGCAGAAACATTCGGATAACAAATAGGACAAGGAGATAGAAGACAAAGCTGCTTTATTTCTCCTCATTCTTAGCAGCTGTGGGTGTTACTTTACAAAATCAAAGTGTTTTCAGTGCTTTATTTGTGTTTATAAATAGGGATTTCCTAATGTTTTCAGCACTTACAGGCTCTGACATGCGTGCTTTGTGCCATGTGTTCTTACAGACCTGCAGCTGGACTACTGAACACAAACCAGCACAAGACCTTCCCTGGGGCACAGATCTTATTCTGGAAGTTATTCCACAGGCTTTTCCCCTCCCTTTATAGCTTGGAAAGCCCCATTCAGTGCAAGCAGCAAGCTGCCAGATGCAGGAGCAGCAGCATGCTGGTCTGATTCATCAGCTGCAGTATCTGGAGTCTGATGTCATGCCTATTGTACTGCCCATATTTAATGGGGTTTGTGATGTTCTGGGCTTTGTTTTTCCCCTAGCAGAGATAGAAAAGTCTTCACATCAGGTTCATTTATGTATTTCTAATCATCACAGTTCAAATGAGCAATGTATATTCACCTGTATTGCTCGGCACAGTGCTGTAACTCTTCATCAAACCCTCTTATTATCTTCCAGGTCATGAAATCCACGTCTCCACCCCTGCACCTCCTCATCTCTCCACTGCCTCTGCTGCATGTGTCCCATCTTGACTCTTCCCTTTTGGGATAAGTTGATTTTCTTGATCCCACTTTGAGAAGCACATTGATTAAAACACAACAAAGAGAAATGCTCAAGTGCTGTAATGCCATTGGAGTTAGAGAAGCAGATGATGCCTTGCTGGCCCTGCTGACCCCCTGCACTCCATCTGTGTGCGGCAAGTGGGGATTTGTGCCTACATTTCCCAATTAAACCATGCATGCAATTGCGTTCTGCATTGTGGTACCTTCCCTTGTGCGTGTCAGCAGCTGGCTGTGATTTAAAGCACCAATTTAGGAGATGGAAAAGCTTCAGCTCTGCTCCTGTTCAAGCCTGCTAATTTATAATGCAACTGAAATGTAATTACTTGAATTCTGCACAGAGAATACAAAACATGGAGGTAGGGATGCGAGTTTCCCACTTTAATTCAATTTATTGTGGCTTGCCTTAAAGTGGCCTCATGGAAAGCAGAAAGACAACAAAGTCATTGCACTTTGGCTCTCTGTGTTGCTTCCCCCCAAAAGAGCTTAACAGTTGTTTCAACAAGTGGAATTAATCCCCTCACGCTGCAAGGAAAGGTCTGACTACAAGAAGTTGGGGGTTAGTGTGTCTCGAGAGCATCTACCTAATGATTTAAAGCTAAAGGAAAAACAAGCTATTAAAGAAATTATCACTATTGGCTTCCTTTTTGAGCTGTACCCACCCAAATAGCATTTATCCCCCAGTAGTTAATAATACAGGCAAAAAGCACACTAATCAGTGTGAAAACAGCCCACATAGCCCTCTATAATCTTTACTATGCATTTACTAAGAGGTGCATCAAGTGTTGGAAAAGGGGAGCTTTGCTGTTCACCATGAAAAACCTATTTAGCAAAGGCATGCTGTTGGGTATGGAAAGGAAAAGAGATCTGGGTGCAACAGTGCCTGCAGGGAAAACACTTCACCACTCACACCTGCATCCCCTGACTCCATTCTAACAGGATTTATTAACACTACTGCTTCTGGTGGTGCCTCGAGATAGAAATCAACCAAGAGGGTTCACCATGTCACAAGGTCAGATGTAAACTGCCTCTCTGCAAGCCTTTTGCAAGCTGAGGAAGGCGTTTGCCATACTTCTGTTCAACTTCTTCAGCTGGATTACTCTTCAGTTAGTGCCTCCATTCCTTCTCCAAGAAGGACTTTCAACCCTTATCAACCCTAAGTACTTCACTGGAAGTACTCAACTCTTTTGGCTCAGTTTCCACTCCAGTTGAGGTGTTACCACTCCCCAGTTCTGGTTATGCAGAGGCATTGTTTTGAGTAGGAAGTGATTTGTGCACCTCTGGAAAGTCAACACAGAAGCTGTTCGGCTTTCCTCTCCATTAAGCAAACTGGAATGAGTCAGAAAAGCATTGCCAATGCTTTTTGCTATTTGAGGTCACTAGAAAGTTGACTAGAGGTCAAACATTCAATATATTTAGGCATTATAATGCTGTCTTCAAAAAATAATCATTGTTTTACGGGATTTAAAGCATTTCAGGTTTCCCCATCTTCAGCTCTAGGAAGGGATTTTTAATACGGATCCCTTTGATAATTGCATTTTAAAAAGCAATGATAAGATGAGATATGATACAAGATGATATAAGAGACACTCTTACCCAGGCTGTGTTGGGAAAGGAGAAGTTTAGATACATTCCTCCTGTTTCTGGATACTCTTAGCAGATTAAGAGAGCCAACACAGACAAAGCTTTAGCTATAACTTACAGTAGATATTCGGATTAGAGCCACATTTAATGAGTTACATTTTATGATCTAATTTAGTGGATGTGCCAAACAAGCATTCTGTTTATCAGGGCTTCTTTTAGAACATTAAAACATGAATCTCTGCACTGGGAAAACTCAGTATTATCTTTCCAACATGTACCAAGGTATGTCTCTGTCAGATGGTCACTCTGCCTCCTTCCCCAGCACTTAGAGATCAAGAACACTGAGCTCATAGTTGGCAGGGGAGTCCATCACAGCCCCCACAGTCAATAACCTGAGCAGGCTTTCTCTTAGGAACAACTGAGACTTTTCTTCTTACAACCTTGAAGAAGAGACTGAAAACATCACTGAAGACAAGGTTTTTTTTTCTTCCTCAAGGTCCTTTTTTCCTTTCTTGTGCCAATGTTTAAATAGGGCCCTTTTTTCTTAGTATTTATAGACAGCAGTGATACCCATTCCTAAAGTTGATTTCACCAGACTACTTAAGCTAAATTACTTTCATCTTTGCCCATGTAGCACATTCCCCATCTGACTGACTACCCCCTCCGCTGTAGTGGTGCAACAGTTCTTTTATGAAGCAGCTTTCATCTTATGCAATCTGTTTTCTAAAGCCCTTACTGATTTCTGAGAGTAAAAGCTTCCCCTGAGTAATCTTTAGCTCTTACCCAAAAGCCTGGATCTGTAAACCTGGGGAGGTACTCACCAGCTCCAGTGTCATCCTTCACCACCTGAACAAGGTGAGCAATGCTGACCTAGAAACAGCAGTCAGGATCATCTCCATATCCAGGTCAGCAGGCAAGATAAAGAGAATGAGGTAGGTGCTTGGGCCAGACATGAATTAGCTGCAGATTAGCAAGGACAGTCAGGATTAGCCAAAATCCAGTGGTCGCTTGTTAAATCCACAGCAATGAGACTAATTGAAGAGAAAGCTAGGATGGAAAGCTGGAAATCTGTAGCCAAGTATAGCTATCACTAAACCAAAGCTCAGCACGACACTACAAGCACTAGAAGCAAGTGATGTCCCTGGGCTTGGCTTAAATAGAGCTTCTGAGCCTATGGATGGAGGCCCCAGGTGAAGCTGTTTAGGGTCAGTGAGATTTATAAGTGTGGCTTCAATGCTGTGGGTAAGGTTTGTGTTTATAGAAGCTCTGTTTTGTGGTAATTTTACTGCCTTCCCTCCCCCCCCCCCCCCCCCCGGTTTGTTACAGAGCCTGTCTTAAATGTACAATTTTCAGTGTTTGTTGAAAGGTTATGAGCTTAGTTCAAGGGAAATTGGCTTATAATTTTGGTAGAGGGCTGCATGTGTTGCTTTTTTGAACTTTAGAGTCTTTGCTGCCCATGTTTTCAAGCTTATCCTGTTCTTTCTAGCACAACAGTTACAAAATCAAATGCTTGACAGCCAAAAATCCCACTGAACTTTCCTCATAGGCTTCTGGAATTTTATAGTTAAGTCAAAGCAACTTATTTGCACTATAGGTGATTGTGTGTTGCTATGGGCTCTTCTGTGGTCTTTTAGAGTACCTCACCCTGCAGCAAGCCCTATGCAAGCAGCTACCAGCAGCAGCGTGGGGCTGTCTTGATTTAGATGTCATTCTCAATTGCATGCAAAATGTTTTTGCAGAGCAGCTCTTTGCACTTGGCTGGGTCCTTGAAGAGTATGTTTGCTGCAGCGCAGGAGAAATATTTACTGTGGTGAGTGATTAGTTTAAAAGAGGGGATGTTTTGCAGTGGCACTGAGCTTGAATAGTAAGTATATTCCACCCACCTACAGGCAGATAGCTGAAGGCTTTGCAAAACAAGTATCTTAAGGGAACAGTAGGTATCGAATGAAGTGAATGTATGGTAAGTGTCAGGATTTGTCGGTGAGTTCAGTACTGCCTTATCTCTAAAGCTGACCAAAAGGAAATGCTATGGCCTGAGACAGGCATTAAGATTGAAGCTGTAGCCTCTGCCCTGGCACAGATGGCTACAAATGGAAAACTGCTGCTGCCAGACAGACAGGGAAAACATGAGGATTTGTTGCTCAGAGGAAGAACACAGAGTTGCCCAAAGCTGGGAATTCTGGCAGATCATCTACTATCTTTCAAATGACAGTGGAGGAGGGATACAGACTGCAGGCTACAGAGAAATAAGCTATCAAGCTGCCTCACCCAAATCCTTTGGTGAACACTGTTATTTGGAGCCAATTATCAACACACACCCCCTCACCCCCTTTTTGTTACTTGTAGGTTTAATCCTTGTTGTTGAAGCCCATGTGATGTTTTCCAGGTGCACACAGTGTGATGTGTTCAAGGTGTGCTCAGGTGCTGGGCCAGTCTGACCCAAAACAGAGGTGTTTCCTTCAAAGCACTGCATTTACACAGTAAGGTGAGAGCATTCTTTCCCCCACAGCTATGACAGGACTTGGCATTTCTCTGTTATTACAGGCTTTGAACTCCTGTAACCTCAGCTTGCATACAGTGGAAAAATTCAGGGTTTGCTTGCCTGAGCATGGGGCTGCAGTTCCCAATGTGTTTTGGTGCTGTTCCAGGTGAGAGCATTCCTGTGACCTGCATCCCAGTACATTTGCCCTGCCTCTGCCTTGCAGGAAACTTTCTGGACATCTGTATTAAGAGCTTTGCTGCCAGTAGAAGGGAGATTTCCCAGTGCTCTCAAATCCATTTGCTCCGGAAGGCTGTCTTTAAAGCCAATGCACTCCAGTGGGAGCTTAGGTAGGATCTGGTTTGTAAGCTTGATCAAAGGGTCCCAGAATTTGCCCTCTGATTTCCAAAAAGCTCTGGATTTGCTGGTTAGTGAATTTGCCTGAATGGTAAAGGACCAAGGGTGTTCCTTACAGCAAATCTGGAGTCATTTTCATTGGGAGACTTGTCATCTGCAGGCTCATCCAAGCAGTAGCTGGTTTTTACACTGAGAAGTCTCTTTGCTACTGTGGTGAGGTTGTCTTAAGTTGTTATTGCAGTTGCTAAGGCCTTTAGGCAGGCAAAGGACAGGAATATGCTTCAAATGCTTCTCAGATCAGTCTGATCCAGCTGAATTCATGTCCCTGGCAAGCTCTGCATCATCCAATAATACCCTAACAAGTTGAAAGAGTCACTTCACATCCTTGTGGCCCTCCCTGAATGCAAAAGCCTGGCTGTTAAATGAGTGTTACCTCTTCTGTTCATCTTTGTAATGAATTCCGGAGCCTGGCTCCCATTCCCTGTCCCCTCCTCAGTAATTCCCTGCAGAACGTGAAGGAAACCTGCTGGTGATGCCTGTTCTCCTGTTTTCCTTCCGAAGTTTATCCTTTATCTAGTATTATTTGGACCTATTTGCTTTCTCTTACAGTGGTTGTAGAAACAATGCTTAACAAAATGGGATTGAATTTAATAAAGGGCAAGTGCCACACAGCAAAGCCCATTAAAGGTGTGATTAAGACTAAAAGACAAGTCAGTATTCCTGCAGCACCTGCTGGGGGTTTATCTCCTTGTCAGCTATTAAAGGAAACCTGGTTAAAGACTGAATGTAGCTTGATAACATAAATCCACACTAAAAATGCAGGCTCCTCTCCCTATGGAATAATAGTGAATCATGCCATTGTTGGAAAGCTATGGCAAGCTTTGGAGCGGAAGGAGGAAAAAAGGCTCAACCTGTGTGGTGTTTGTCCTTCCCCTACTTTAAAGACCTGTTTTGAGCAATGCAAGAACCTTCCATGACATGAAAGTAAGAGCTTGTGTAGCCATAAACTCATTTGAATCTGATTTTTTTCATTGCTGTGCTTCTTGGTAAATGATTTCCTGCCCTGTGCCAGATGCTGTTTTCATTCACAATGAAGTAATAGTCCTCTGTGAGTGATCTCACAGTATCCTACCACAGCCCTTATTGTGACTTCTCAAATTTAACATGCTCAAATGCAGCCTTTGTTGGTTGTTTGGGAACTTTGAGATCTGGGGTTTGATTGAAGTTGATCTCTAACAAAAAAAGGGAGCACAGAGCCTGGGGAACTGGGATAATTTGCAGAAAAACACTGAAACAAAAGCAGGGCAGAAAGGGGAAGTTTGACTGTTTGATATAGTCGATTTTTCTCATACAGGCAGAGGCAAAACTTGATGTAAGTCTTGTGTCATTTGCTGCTTTTCAGGGTTTGAGATGGTGCTTAATTGTGGACCACACCAAGGATGTCAGTGATGGATCCGTGGCTAGCATTAGCCAGGGGGACCAGGCTTGGGGTCTGCTCTATTCCACACCATTGCATGTTCTCCCTGGCCATAGCTCGTGCTTTGCACCTAGGCAAGTGCATCCAAATACAAATAATTTGTAGTTCTTCAACTAGATCACAGGGTTAGACCTTCCAAAAGATGGCTAGAGGCTTTGCAGCTCCCTTTTAGTGATCTGTGGGCTTGGTATCACAATGGCACAGCCCTATCCTTTCCTGATATAAGGCTTATTCAGAATGGGCTACGTGTTTGTGCCAGTATGCGTAGAAGTGAATCCTTTTGAAGGCTTATATAAAGGTGTATCTTCCAGAAAACAGAACAAATACAAGGAATCCAGTTGAGTTCCTTGAGGCCTGGTCATGCAAAGAGTGGAACACTCAGTTTTAAATGCAGGTTAGAGCACTTTGCATCCCCCATGTCTGTGGAAGGCTGTAGTGGTGTGTCTATGTGCACATGTAGGTGTTTCTAACACTGTTTGATCTAAGGATATAATTATCCTTATAAAACACTTATTATTTCTTCCCCTTAGGAGTAAACTGGGAATCATGGAAAAAGAAAGTGAGATGGAAGACACTCCTTTTGAAATTGGGAAGTGAAAAGTGATTGAAGGTGACACTTCCTTGGATAGCTTTTTAGCCTTTCCAGTCAGCAGAGGAGCCAACAAGCAGGTCTGTCATCCAGCTGTAGTTTCAGGTAGCATGGAAAAGGTATCATTAGGCTCTTTTAGCAGAAAAGAGGGAGGCATTTATAATACTTGATAGAATATTGGTATATTTAAATGGGATGTTAAATAGGAAGCATGGTGAAATTTTGCCCTCCTGGAGACTGCACCAGGTTATAGGTGGAGGAGAAACTTAACCAAAAGCAGCTTTGAGAGAGCTACTGAAATACAGCTGAATGAAGATGTTTGCCTGACCAGCAAAATCTGTATTCACGTGGCGAAGGGTTCATTACTCATCCTGCGATGCTTTCTGAAGTGTATTTTTGTATCATCATTCCCCATTTTAAATGCAGCTCTGAAATCCCAAAAGGGAATTAACTACCAGGCATTTGCATTTTAAAGGGAAAAACTCAAACCTCAGTAGAGTGCTCTACTTAAGACTCTTTTTATATAACTTAGCCAATCAGCTCCATCTCACTGGAGACCTTAGGGAGTCAACCCTAAGACAAGGTAGGAAAATCCAGACTTGGAAAAAGCCTTGTAATCTGCATCATGAAACACAGGATATGCTGGTATTGGTGGGAAGGTCTCCTGTGAACTGGTGTCTTCATTATTGTGTGACTTTGGGGGGGGGATAAAAAGGGACCTTCAAGCTTTGGCTAACTGGGATGGCAAAATGCAGGATGCCCACTTTTCCTGTGTGAGAGGGGAAAATGATAGTAAAAAAACTAAGTTGTAAATGAAAAAGAGCAATTGAAAACAAAGAGCACTCAGGGCTGACTTGTCCTCTGAGTCAATGTGATTCAGGAGCCAGATTGAGGAGGTTGTTCTCCCCTCAGGCCATAGGGTTAAAGCTGTATGTGGTCCACTCCTTCCCTTGGAGACACTGGGATTCCTCTTTTACCCAGATGATGCAGTTCCTTTCAGCTGCATCTTGCTGGGTGCCTTTATTCAACTGGAACAGACTTCAAGTACGTGGTTTCTTATTGCCAAGAGAACCTGTATTCTAACTTCTTACTGCCTTAGAAGCTTCAAAGCTCTGAAAGTCCTGCTACTTCTCTTTCTTATGGCCCTCCAAACAACTCTGTTGCAAAGGTTATAATAAAGCCAGTGCAGAATATGAAGCCACTCTCTTGAATAAAATCATACATGAATAGTACTAGAGAGCACCATCTGTATTTAGGGCATTTAAAGTTTTAGAGCAAGGTCTAAAAACGTGAATTCCTGTGCTTGGGAATACCTAAATCCCACTGATTATTCCCTGTAAATATCAGAGATGAGACTATTCATCAGCACAAGCTCTTTCAGCTCCTTCCTAAGTGTGATGTGGTGACAGGCACTGGAGGGCAACGCTGCAGGTCCCTGGGGCACCAACTCCCTTTCTTCAGGGTGTGTATCCTGGGAAGCTAAAGTAAATATTCCTGTGTTGACATAAAAAGAATGACTGGGTGGTTGGGAGCCACCTTCTAATGATGACTGTAACAGGAAATGTTATACAAGGATATCAAGGAGTAAGGAAGGGAGTTTTGGTGTAGTTATTTTGCTTTGCACCAGCACTTAAGACTACTGTGCCACTGGTGAGAAAGAACAGTTCCCAGGGCTAATGCTGTATCACACATGAGATCCAGACACTGTACAACTCCTTGTTGTCTGTTCCTGTGTTGGAAGTTACTTCCTAACACACCCTGTTGCTTGCAGGCTGAGTAACAGCACAAACAAGCAATGGGGGGAAGAAAGGGTGACTTTGGTGTGCCATCAAGGAGCTTGTCAGCACAGGTTATTCCATGCTGCCTGATGCAGCAGGCACTGAATCAGACCTGATTGGGAAGGAGGGGCAGGTTTTCTGTTGTTGAATTGCACTTATCTTCAAAGCTGCTGGAAGTGATTCTGCGTTTATTCAGCACCGGGAGTCCTGAGCTTTTGAGATTCAATGTTGTTCATTGCTGTTTGTTAGGATGATTTGGCTTTTAATCCACCAGTGAATACTGAATGAAGAATTCAGTCGTAAATCAGATCTCCTCTTGCTTGCCAGTCACACAAGCCGTTTTTATTTTCAATTTCAGGTTCTTTTACCATCCAGGCCAAAAATTAGGAGTTAGAAAGCAGCTTAAACTGTTCCTCTCCAGCGACTCTCCTGCATCACTGCTTAATCCTTCCATTATGTGTGATATCGTTAATCATTCCACTGTAATATTTGACACACATTTGTGGGACAAATTTAGTTCTAATCTAAAAGCTGCAATAACAGTGACTTATGTGGAACGGCAGCTAATTAGAGCATAGTTGAATTTTCATCTCTTGTGAAAGACTTGTATAAAATGAACAACCTTTCACACTGTTGAAATGAGACTGTCGGAGTGAGACGGGCAGGCAGATGAGGGGAGAGGAGAGGAAGGTTATTCAAGGACAACAGGAGAAATCTGTGTCATAATAAGCCGATACCTGTGCAAAATATGCTCAGTTGTTGGTGGATTCTTCTTAATTGTTGTGTTTTTCTTTAAGCTCTCTTATGGCTCATGGTTTGATTGCCTTGATATCCAGGTGATTGATCCTGCCATCTATAGAGACTGAGTGACACTTCTGCCATCGCAGTGGACTAGAAGAGATGAAGATGACAGGATGCCTCCAGCCCATTGTGGGAAGATACTGCAATGCAAGAAGGTGAGTTTACTAAATCTTTCCTGCAATGCAGCTTCTTTTCTCTCTAAGGCCCTTATTGGTAGACCTCTAGATTCTTGCCTTCAAGTTCCATGTATCAGGTTAAGTGTTTGCTACAGCTCTTGGAAGAAGATTCAGGCATGATTCTTCAGGCCTCGAGATTCTGCCAGTGTCCAAAGCCATGGATCCATCTGAAGAGAGAAAATGAGCAGCATAAATACTCAGTTTGTATATTCAGAAAACTGATCCATAGCTAAAAAAGGTGCTTAGGGTCTCATGGTTTTGTATTTGGGCTCCTAAATATGAGCCCACACTTAGTACTTTATTGAACTACATATCAGAGGTTATTTCCCGATAGCGACTGCTACAGATGTGCAAATCTATCCCAGCAAAGGATTGCTTGTGTCTTTGAGATGCTGCTTTTGCCTTGGGTAGTCTTCATCTTCAAAAGAAGAAACTGTTCAGTTCAACTCACTGCTGGTTTTGCCCTCCATCTAGAGAGCAGAGGAGGTGGTAGACTTAGCACGTTATCTGCCTGCTGAGATTTGTATGCAGAGTTCTGAAGGAGCAGCAGCTTCCTTTAGCAGCCACATCCCTGTTGTGCTCACCTTAAGCATCCTCAGTTGATGTATCAGTCATTTTCCAAGGCGTTGCCACCTCTTCTGTGCTGATGTCCTTCAGCAAAGCAGTGATACTCCTGGACCTAAAAGAAGGGGCTGTTCTGAGGTTTGCAGTTATGGGAGAGCGACTATTCTTTCTTTAATGGTCTGTTACATGCTGTAGGCAAGGATTGTGCTGTTTGAGATGAACATAGCACAAACTGCTGATTGAACCTCTTCCCCCCCGCCAAAAAAAAACCCTCAGGACACCTGCATGGAAGGCAGATTAATGGCACTGAACAGGAGCAGTAGGAAAATGGCCATGAAGACATAAGGATTCATCGATATGATAAAGGGAAGACTTTTCCCTTCCCTGCCGAGCCCTTTTAAAGATGTCTTTGAGGAGAAACAGGCTTACT